CAAATGCAGACAATAGTAAACTGTATTTATCCGAAACTTAATACAGAACACGAACAATTTAAAACAATTACATACATAGGAGAACCTAGTGAAAAAGTTTCAAAACATTTGTCAAAATGTGGTTTAAAATAGCTTTCAGAACAAACAACACAATAGGAACATATTTAAAAAACAATAAATCGAAATGTCCAAGACCCCAAAAATCAGGTCTCTACAGGTTGAAATGTGGATCTTGTCCTAAAATTTATATTGGACAAACAGGTAAATCCTTCAAGAAACGCATCAACGAACATATAAGAGCGTTTAAGATTCTGATTATGCTACACACTTAAATACAGAAAAACACATTTTTGAAGACAATTTTGATATATTTTATACAGCCAGAAAAAATAGAAAATTAAATTTATTGGAAGCCATGGAAATTAACAAAATGTATTGCTTAACGATCAATTGGATTTAAATACCTTTCCTTTATTGAATTTAAATTCTTGTAACAACATTAATTAAGGTTTTATGGTCATTTTTCGGTATATATAGTAGCAGGTAGTTTGTAAATACTACATTTGATAAGGACACGGTGTTGTCGAAACAATTGTCATGTCAAAATATATAATTTCGTGAAAATCTGAACTTTTAGTTCAGAAACTAAGGGAAAACATTCAAATAAATCAATTTAGATGGTACTAGTATGTCCAAATAAAGAAAACAGATACTGAATTACCAAAACAAATCCTTAAATGGAGACTGACCTGCAGAGAAGGTATAGATAGGAAATCAGAGATAGAGGTATTTATGGAGGGTCGAGACACACGGACACTGGAATTGAGAAGGGGTCGAAGAACATGATAAACGTGCTTTTTTGTAATACTATATACTGTAATACTATTCACAAATCTTTGTGTGCGCAGCATAGTTTATGCTGTGCAGAAGCAGATTTGACAATCCACTACTGAGATCCTATTAATTAGTTAATTAATTTAATAAATTGTTATATTTAGCACTAAAGCTTTGAGTTTGGGAAATTTTTCTCGACACTAACAATGAATTATTGATTTCTGATTGGGTTAATTGATGGGAAATACGGTCCTTTCAGAAAAAATAGCTTTTAGGACAGACGTGAACAACTTAAATTTAATATTTAGAGGAGTCACTTTCAAAAATGGGAAAAAAAATGTCTTTCCATTTTTGGCTATTAGTTTTGTTAGGGAGGTAGTTTTAGAACTTTTTTTCTTTCTATATGTGGGCGGGTACTTAATGAATATGAAATTTTAGTTTAAACCATATGAGGATTTAGTGATACGTCTTCTGTTTTTTATAAAGATAAGCGTAAAAATTAGCGCCCTTGCCTTTTTATATTATTATTACTTTTTGAACGCTTATTTCGTATAATGCTACAGTATTATCTCGAAATTTTGGCAATTTTTTATTTGCTGCATTTGGAATATTTGGTCAGCTTATTTGAACCACAACTAACCCACACTAGTAGTAGTACATTTTTTGTGTTTTTTAGTTTTGTCTTGCAATTTTGAAAATAATGAATCAAAATTTGGTACGGCCTATTCATTATCTACAGGGAAGAATATTGAGAGATATTATGTTTCTGTAGTCCAAAAAATGAAAACTTTTTTTCCCCAATCGCGAGCAAACTTGATTAACATTCAACTCAATACTGCATTCAATTTATCCCTCTCCAAGTTTTTGTCACACACAGTCTTTAAATTTGGAAACTTTTTTTTTGGCATATATATTATTTAGTTGCAACAAAAACCATTATATTTCAAACCCACTTTTTTCATTATATATCATTTAGAAATATGGGATAAGTTTAGTTGTTAGATGTGATATTTGTCTGAAAATTTTAGGGCTGATTTTTAATGGCATGAAGTTAAAAAAAGGCACACAGAAGAGCAACGTTAACTCTACAGCAATAATGATTAATGTTTTTGTTTTTATTATCTTGATGCCATTAATGCCCAGGTTAAAAAAGCAACAACATCCTTCAAACCAAATAATTTTTTTTTCATATTGTGTTCACATTTTGCGAATATATCGTTAAATAATAAAATATACTTTTTAGAAAAATTAAAAAAAAACTGTTCTTTTATAAATCACCTGGAAAATTAATTTTTTTGTGTTGTGGTTTGTGTTACTCTTTTCACGTCAGAAGTTATTTAGATATTCTACTTTTTTGATTTTCGGTCCGAAATAATAGAGTAACTGTACCAAGAATTGTGAAATTTTGAGATCTAAGATGATCGCAGTGCATTTCGAACATCCTTGCAACAGGTGATGATAAAATGAATTTAAAAAGTAATTATCGAACGACATTTTTTATAAACGGAACAGAGGCGTCGCAAAATAAGTAATTACATTCTGAGATGGTATTTTATTACGTAAACCGCAAATTTATGTCCGATTTCATTTCGCGAGAGATACGTTAAAATCGAGGCGGATGATAACAATTAAGAAATTCGTGTTTTGTACCGAGCGTTCGAAAATCGAAAGCCGACCTTCGCATTAATAAGAAAAATTCCGGAGTGCTTATCTCCGGCGGAGTAATTGTGACACCGGAGATATATTTTCGGGTTCATTAATAAAACATTTCAATTAGATAACTAATGAAAAGTAAAAGTAAGCGAAAATGGTTGTAAACAGCGTGCGCGTGACAGCCCCGGCGAATTTCGACGTGATTTTGTTAAAAAAATAATAAATTTTAATTAGCGAGGCGGTTGTTTTTTCCTCGCAAAACTGTCATAATACAGGGCGTTTCAAAAATAATCCGGCTTCGCAACGTAATAGGGTAATTAGGCTTTAACTGTATTAAATAGAGCGAGCATTCTGTATTCGGCTTTTTATTCGTAGTTCCCGAAGAACGTCGTAGCCTTTGAAAAGGCTTTTGATCAAATGCAACATGATTTATTATTCAAATATCTAGGGATGAGACAGCTTTAAACAGCTACGACCTCAAATAGCCACGAAGAAGATTCTCATTAAGCGTGGAGTGCTGTCATCAACGTTTTTCATTTATTTCTATTATATAAACGTTTGCAAGACAAAATGCATTATAGCAGGAAGTATAGATGTTGGACAAATGTAACTTTTACTAGATAGTAGACTTCTTGATAGAGTTAACCATTTTAAATAGTTAGGCATCAGAGCTAAACTCTCATCGCCATGTCTTTGGAGAGCGGATTAAAATAGCATTTACTTTGCCTTCGGGGAAAACTGGAGGGCACGCGATTGGATGTAAAAAGCTGTGAGAGATTCGAAAACATCACCACTAAGATGAAGAAGAAGAAGAAGATAGAAGAAAGTCCAGTGCCGTCAGTGTCAACGAATAGTATTGTCAAAATATGTCCGCCACTGACTTTTTGCAATTTTTATTATTTACTATACTAAAGGTACATCTTTTTCGATTCATGAGTTGTTTTCGTGTCTACCCTCGTTTTCCAGCAAAAATCATGAAACTTGGCAATACTTACTTTATTAATGTTATAGTTAAATTTTATATTACAATTATAATATTGTTATAATGTTATATATAATATGTAATATATAATATATAATATGATAATTTTATAATGTTATAATTACTAAAATATAATTCACGCGCGAAAGTTATTACTAGCTTTAGTGTTCTTTTACACGATAACTCCTCCAGAATGCCAAAAAACTATGACCTTGATCTTACCCGAAGGTACGAAGGTGTTGGAGATGTTGGATGTTTTAATAGTGGCTCCATTCGATGCCGTGCGTGTTTTGACTGGCGATTTTTGTGACGAATCCAGTTACATTCACAGGACCATTTATAATGTGCTTTTGCCCTAGTGTCAACATTTTCATCGCGCATATTTTGATGTAAAATGGTTTCAACGCTCTATCCAAAAGCTACACCTCTCTATACATGTCTTAGAAAACTATTGATATGAACGTGCAGATTCACCCAGCCCTTCTAACATTAATCTTTTGTCGTGAAAAATGGCTCTTGATTCGATTAATGGAATTTGGGTGAATTTTTAGGTATTGAAAGGAGTGTAAAAAGGCAAATATGATGAACTCGGTGAATTCGTTAGTGCTACGAACCACCTTGCTGAATGGTCTGTGTTTGTGCGGAATATGGCAAAGAAATCTGTGATTTTGTGTTAAGTTTGTGATTGCGATGATCATAACGGTGAAGGAAACCTCACAACATACCCTGTATATTTTTCAACAACAGTTTCTCAAAAATAAATGATCTTAGTAAACAATGATACAATATCTCAATTCTCATAACTCGTATGCCATGCTATTTGTAATAAAAGTCACTAATAGTTTTTATGTTAGTTTTAAAGATTTAAGTGGTGATGATATGACAATGACAATTTTGTTTGTTGCACATTTCGGAGTTTTATTTCTTAAATTCTACTAATTAAATTAAATGTGGCGCGACTGCTGAAGACTAGTTTTAAAAAACCAAAACTAACGTACCGATATATTGAAAATTCGAATTCCTAAGAAATTATTGTTATTTTGAAATTAAAGAATTTTTGCGGCGGATAGTTGTAACTTACCGGTGAAAATTCACACCATACGTGCAAAAACAACCTACTCGAACAAAATCTGTTGAAAATCTGGTGGTTCTAAATATAGTCTTTATCTACGGGCGCTAATTCCAACAACCTTTTTTCTCGCCTGATTCCGATCGTTTCAATTATAGGAGTTCTTCACTTCAGCCTCAACCTGCTAATTATCTCATTCACGAGCGAGATAATCGGATAATTACAGAGGTTACATCGGCGGATCATCATTAACGGCATCATTCTCACTTTTTGACGGTCCTTGTACCACAATCGCCGTTCACCTAGCCAACCAAAAAAAAAATGGGCACAACCCTACTATTGCTAATATTAATTTTTTATTAATACGTCTAAAGCGCAATTGTCCGATTTTGTACGGGCCCGTCCATTCTAATTCAGCGCACAGTGGGGATGATCCACCACAAAGTATAAAAACTTCAGTTACAGTTTAAAGTATCGTCAAAACACGACCGATATTGCACCTCCATAAGTATTAAAGATGAGACCGTTCTTGGTAAGTGTAATTCGTAATTAGAAAGGTGGCCTCTCCCACGTCGAAGTGATAGTGACCGCGCAAAAATAAAAATCGACGGGGTTCGAGTGTGGTGAACTTGCAGTGCGTCCAATTCGCGTGTGAACCCACGTCCGTTTTGTCTTAATCGTTTGAAGTTGCTAAAAAAAAAAGCAAAATTCGCTGCACTCACTTTCTTGTTTAAGTTCAATAGACGCTGGTGTTTCGAATTCGAAAATTTAACTAAAAAGTACCAAAAGAGATGTTTAGGTCTTTTAAAAGAACAGAACTGACTGTAACTGTAAATTGATAAAAGCATGAAAATGTTCCTGACTAGTTAATCTATTGAATTTTTCTCAATTTTTTAAAATTGCCAACATACCTTGCCTTACCAAATTTGAACATATCCTTGTGCCGTATGCAGAGGAATTCAGAAAATTGACTTTTTCTCTCCGAATTTTATGAACTTTTTATCTAGAAAGTTTTGTTTAATGGCGTTCTATGCGTCTTTCAAGTTCTATTCCTCCTTTTAATGTGGGAAGATTTAAAAATAGTTTTCTATGCTAAACACCCGGTATTTAAAAAGTGAAAATTTTGCTAGAGATTAAGAAATATAATGAGGCCGTAAACTGCTTGTGATCACCAAGTTCGTAGAACAAATTGTTGGATGCTGGAGAACAAATTTATTATCACTATATTGCGTGCGAGTTTGTTGGAAAAAGTTTGTTCTGAACTGAGGAGTATATATATCGAAAATGGTTTTTATAAAAAACATTCATTTCACTCTAGATATCTCTATAAATAAATACACATTTTCTTATGGAAAAGATTTTTGAAAATTTTACCAGTGGCGTTGGTGGGGCATTTAAATTCAATATTATTGACGCCGCTCTTTCAGAAACCTACTTTTGAAATTTCCATTTATATTTTCTTACACCGTCTTCGCTTAAGAAACTGAAAACTATTTTCAAGCATTTCCAAAATGCTAAAATTTGAGTTAATTTAATTTCTGAGACGCTGCAGGATTAATACTCTACTCGAACTACACTGTCAAAGATTTTGTATTACCAAACCAACCATTTCTAGATATATGTTTGTATAGGAAATTAGGGCCTATTTTGAATGTTTCGACACTGCATTTTTGTAGAGTTGCCCTATTCTCAATGCCATTTTTCCTGGCATTTGAAAAAGTCTAATTAATTCGGCGATATTTTGAATTCTAATAAATTCAGAAAAGGGGGTAAACTATGTCTTTTTGCTGATTAAAATTTGATTAATGTTGGTTGATTAATAAATGAATAAACGGACTCCAGAACATTTTTTTTATCACTTCTTTGTCTTAATTTTTTTTTGGGGGTCATTTTAAATTTTTTTCACCCAAAATGGGATTTTGGAAAAAAATTGCCTTAAAAAAGGTCACAAAAGTAAAAAAATTACAGCTTTTTGAGTTTGACATTTAACCAAGTAGCGAATTATTAAATTGTTTTAAGTACTTTTCATTGTCTTCTTAAACCGTTTCAGCAACAATAAAATACAATTTAATGCTCCTTTTATAGAGCCGATTCGCCCGAAGAGGCCATTTTCTATTCACTCTAGAAATTAACGGAATGATTTTTTGAAAAATCCTTTGTATGTATATAACGCAGGCACCTACAAAATAAGTCGAGAATTTTTAGAAATTTCCCAAAAAATGTTACATTGCGTTAACTACTTCCTCAACATATAAATATGTAAAAAAATATTTTTTAAAATCAGTCCTGGAAGTAGGAAGATCCCCGCCCGTTAATAGTTCGATCCCTTTTCCTGCAGTTCACGTGTTTGGTGGCCTTAGCCACAGCTCGACCTGAACCTCCGGTAGGTTACAGCTACCAAGCGCCATCTGGAGGCGCGTCCATTGGTGGGGGTTACGCGGGTGGTTTCTCCTCCTCCCTAGGAGGCGGATACTCTGGAGGAGCTGCCCTCGGAGGTGGCCATTCCGGTGGTGTCTCTTTAGGCGGCGGCCACGGCGGTAGTCTCGGAGGATTCGGTGGCTCGGCCTCTGGCGGATTCGGCCAAGGCGCCGGCCTTGGTGGTGGTTTCGGACAAGGCTCTGGTATTGGGGGCGGTTACTCCGGTGGATTCGACGGTGGTGCCGGTCACGGGATCGGAGGCGGTCAGACAGTCCACAAACACGTGTACGTCCACGTAGCTCCCGAAGAACCTCAAGAACACCAACCAAGGAAAATCATACCCGTAGCTCCCGCTCAGAAACACTACAAAATCATCTTCATTAAGGCTCCAGCTCCTCCTACCCCGACCGCGCCAATCATCCCCGCTCAGCCTCAGAACGAAGAAAAGACCTTGGTCTACGTGTTGGTCAAGAAACCCGAAGACCAACCAGAGATTTCCATCCCCACTCCGGCCCCGACTCAACCATCCAAACCCGAAGTATACTTTATCAGATACAAAACTCAGAAGGAGGCTCTCGCTGCTGGTGGTCATTCCGGATCCGGAGGCGACATTTCGGGGGCATTGGGCGGTATCGATGGCGGCGCTATTGGGGGCGGCGCTGATTTTGCTTCCGCTCACGGAGCTTCGTTCTCCGGCGCCGGAAGTCTAGGAGGACACGGAGGACAGGATCTTTCCGGGGGATATTCCGGCGGTGCTTCCTCCGGTTCCTCGTCCGGAGCTTCTTCCAAATACGGCCCTCCCGGATACCACAAATAAGTAACATTTTGTAAGATCCAAAAGAAGTACGGGTACATCCTCAGTTGTCGTTGAGAAGCATCGTGAGCTGTGTGAGATTTGTGATACGCCACTTAATTCGAGTTCACGCAATATTTATGTATATATTTCCTTAGTCATTTTTTATTCACGTTAGTTTGTAAGAAACGGTGACAAATAAATTTTTATAATATTTTTTTAATTGGTTTTTTAGTTTTGCTTGCAAACTACCCTTCTTGTTCCTGTCCTTAGTTAATTGCATATTAAGAAATTTTTATGATTTGTAATTGCTTCCTATCGATTCATAGTGTCACGTATTTTTCCAATCAAAGCTTAAAAGTTTGACATAAGACGACGACAATAGAAATAACTTTAGAAAAAAAAAAGTAAGTATAAAATAATTATGTGAAGAATCTTTAAGAATAATGAAGTGCCATGAAAAGTAAGAATATACGAAGCAATGCCAACGCCGTCATTATCTTGTTCTGCGATACTTGGATTACGATAATAAAACGAATGGTGGAAACATGAAATTGGAAGATTTGGAGGAGAATATTCGTCGGGAAGCAAACAGAGCTACAGTTTAATGAAGAACAAATGTTGAACTCTACGAACTACTGGCGTGGCACACCTACCAAAAATGGAAGAATAGTTAAGATAATGGCCTAGAAAGTCCGTGAAGGCTAGAAGAAAAGAGGCAAAGCAAAAGACGGGGGAGGCTGAGTAACAAAAGAAAACCAAATCCCGGCTGAAGACGAGAAGCAAAAAGATTGGGAGCTATGGGCCTAAATGGTCTGCATTACCGCTAACGTTATATAGAAATGTTATTATGTTGGCAGATTAGAGGAAGCAATTACGTGCTTTTTGAAAAGTATTATTCGAGTTACGTAACAACCATTCTTTCGTTCTTCGCTAATTTAATGGGATGTTTTGAAACGCCCCACCATAGCCATCGTTCACGCACCTTAATGTCCAGTTCTTCTTTTTTTATGGGTATATATATATATATCGAGATTATCGTTAGTCCGCGTTGAATAATAAGCATCGTAGATGCGACGGTGTTGCCCAAACGCAAGAAGTGAAAGTGCAAGCAGCGCGCGTCTGTGAATTTGTTTAGACCCCGGTTACAACATTTCTTGGGCAATTTTCACAAAACGCTTATATTTGATTTGTCCTCTTTCGGTCTGACCTCCTTGTACGATCAAATTAGATGACGTTGCGCCACCCGTGAGATTTTTCGTCAATTGTCCCAAAGTACGACCGAATTCCTTGACAATTAATTATTGGCACATTTGACAATAAACAATGAAATATTATACAGACAAAAATTAGGTAGATGTAGATGCAGGGGTATTAGTTTATTTTTGTTTTGAATTATGCGGGGTGTTACAAAAAAGTAGATCAATCTGAGAACCATTTGAGACTTCCGCATTGTTCACTAATCACTAGTTAATTGCTTTCAAATACAACTCGACTTTTTCTAATGAGTTTCAAATACAACTCGACTTTTTCTAATGAGTTTCAAATGGGGTTTTGAGAAAGAGACATTTTATAACTTCTATAGCCTGTTGGAAATAGGTTCAATACTATAATAATGGTTAAAATGCGGTGTAAATTAACTAAGGGTGTAGTAGTAACCCATCTATTAAAAGGAAAGAAGATTAGTGTTAAATTCACCATCATTCTATTTGTTTTAGGCTGATGTTTAGACGTTTTATTACATCCTCTTTAGGCCACTACAATGGATATATAGGAATCATCTTTTTTTTTTAATTTAAATAGGTAATTATATTCAGAGATAAACAACTAAATAAAAACAAAAACGTGCAAAATTCTTAAAAAGAAAACGGTTCATTAAAAGACACAAAGGACAAAGTATATGTTATTTTTGCACCAAAACTAAAACACGGAAGTGTAAAAAATACGTTTTATTTGCTATCATATATTTTGTTCTAGTCTAGCTTTTATATATTACCTAACCATATCACACTCTGAAAGCCTCTCAATAAGGCCCACTTTGTCCTGGAGCTCCGTACCTAGCTCCTGAACCAGAACTCGAACTATCACTGGAACCTCCACTCGTACCTTTACTCGCAACAACCGAATCAGTATCTTCCACTTGCTGCTGAAGCTGCTGCGCTTGAACCCTATCTTCTTTGGCCTTGTATCGTATAAAGTATACTTCAGGACGACTGGGCTGCGTGGGTGCTGCGGTGGATAACTCGATCTCTTGTGCTTCATCCGGTTTCTTCACCAGCACGTAGACTAACGTTTTTTCCTCGTTTTGGGCTTGAAGCTGTAACTTAGGAGCGGCAGGTGCGGCGTAACTAGGCGCTTTGATGAAAATAATTTTGTAATGTTTCTGGTGGTTAGCTGCTGCCTGGATCTTAGCCTGTCGTTCCTCCTCTTCGAATGGAGGCGCTACGTGAAAGTAGATATGCTTCTGAACAAGAGGCCCTGGTGCTGCTTGAGGGGAGTTGCTAAATGAAGGGTAGTCCTCTTGAACATTGGAGCGTAAGTCACTTAAATACCCTCTACTAGGGGTCGAGCTGGCTTCGGCTGTAGTGGACGATAAGATCGGTACTCCGTATGACCGGCTGGGGATTTGGAAGGGCTGAATCGTGGGTTGTTTCCTTAGCAGGGATTGTTCTGATTGACTGCTGTCTCCGGATGAGAAAGGGGTTGGAATAGGGTAGTTGTAGCCCACCGGCGGTTCCGGTCGACATTCGCCGAGGGCTATCAGCCCTACTAGTGCCTGAAATGAACTATATTAGGTTTTACTGTTATCAAAGGTTACTATGGTTAGTTGGGGTGTTGCACTTACAAGAAACCGCTTCATATTGGTCGATTTGACGATTGACCGGACGATTTCGAGATGTCAGTTTTTATATCGGCCTTTGTGTCCTAATAGAAAGCGTCCGTCTTGTACAATACATGGCCAAAACAAACATTGTTAAGGTAACGTCAAATTTCATCTCGTGGTTTCAGAATACTTCGTGTTTGTTTAAGGTTTGTGTGTAGAAACTACGAAGGTGTGTCAAAACGCGCTTGTGTCGTAAAAAGAATTTCCACTGATCAGTATAGGTGCTAAGAAATTACGAAAATTAGTTTTTGATTCGTTGGTAAAGTGAAGTGAGGTGAGGGTGTCGGTTTTCAATGGGGTCGTAATTATGGTTTATACAATATGTCCCGGTAAGTCGGGACCGTATGAGAAACTTTTTTTATTATTAATTTTAGAAAATAAAACTAAATTTTCTAAAATCTAAAATAAAGTAATAAGATATTTTCCTTTTTTAAGTATTCAAGCGTAGAATACCTTTAGATTTGACAATATCGACGAATGCTATTTAAAATAAGTTGCAATCTAGGAAGCAACGGTCGCTTCACAACATGGCCGGTGATGGTCTGACGCAAATCCCAATTTTGTAATAGTCTGATATTCTTTCAAGGCTAACGTGTCGGTTGGCGTAAAAACAGATTAATAGGACCTTCTCACATTTCTGACTTCATAGACGAACTACCCTTAGAAGACGGTGCCTCGCGGCACATTACATTGAATGTTAGGGAATATCTTGAACATATGTTCAATGGAAACGTTATCCATAGATATTCTGATATTTCTTGATCTGCTAGATCCCTGATCTTAATCCCATCTGATTACTTCCTGCAGAAGTTTACCAGGAAGGGCTGTTTCAAGATTTAGAAAGAATAATTTTAGAAAAACGCCAGGAAATTTCTTCCGAAATGATCCCGAATGTATTACGTGAATTTCCAGTAGAACGAATACTTGAACGAGACGGTGGATATGACGAGACCTTAGTTAAATGAGTGAAAATTAAATGTCTATTTATATATAGATAATATTATGTTACTTGTACAATTATATATTTGTTTTATTTGAAAAATAAATGTGCATGTGCATTCACTGCGTGTTTAAATTGCAAAAAAGAAGTTAGATAGTTATCATGACTTTCATAATCACAAAACATAAATGTTCATTCCAAATAGCAATGCAAAAAAAAACATCTTTGCAATGTAAAAGGATGTAATTGTATATTCAACGTAGTTTTTGGTTATCACCACCTTTTTTAACAAAATTTTTCGATATTGCTGTACTCTTGAATTTCATTCATATTTTTTTGACACTAATAAAAAAAAATATCTGATGATAATAAAATCAATCTACGGAGATATCAGTTTACCTTTTTGGTTAGAACCCTTTTAGATTCGGTTATTTGTTCCCAACGTTTTAAAAATATTGCAGACAAAAAAAATTACCGCATAGTAAACCCTTGTTTCGCTTCTGCGAGACATCGTCGTAAACAAAAAGAATTTTTCGGTTTCAAAATTATTGCGAAAAATATCCGTCATGTCTCTCTTTTTAAGAAGTTCAAGAATTCTTAGTGCCTGTCCATAAAAAACTTTTTTTTCTTATTTTGGCCCTCCAAAATGTTTGGATATTATTTCCGTAGACTTGGTATAAGTGATATGTATGTCTGCTTCATCAATTGTTAAACGGCCCATCCTGTGCAATTAACCGCAATATGTATTGTGTGTTGTTGTGTTTCGTGAAAGTGAGTTTTTGGTCTGATTTTTTTTAAAACGTTTTACTTTCTTGTTGGATTGTTCCGCACAATACGCACCCAAATAATTATCCATTGTTAAACCTAATATATATTTACGACAGTGTCCCTAATAAAAGTTACCAGCAATAAATAAATTTTGCATTAAACCGAAGCAATTGTAATTTATTTTTACTTATACCTTGACATCAACGCTAGTAGACATTTTTAATTTGATTATTTTGACCGGCCGTAGTCAATTTTCAATTTTTGTCTTTCGAAATGGAAAAAAAATCCCTCAATAGCTCTTTCAAGATACTTCCTAGGCGGAGATCATTGGCTCTGGTTTGGGTATGTCTAGCAGATAAAAACGCACTTCTGGTAGACCTTTACTTTACTTTAAAATTTTTCTCTTCTTTGCCTATCAATTTTCGTTGGAAGTTATCTTCTGGAGTTATAAAAGGAAGATTCATGCGTTTGTAATATTGAAGCAAATGGTACAATAAACATTGCCTAGCTGGGCGATAATATCAATATTTCACATGGTGTGTCAGCAATCATCATCATCATATATCTAAATAAACATGTCAAAACAGATTATTGTTAGATTTTGAGTAAAAACCATTACAAAAAATATAAGTTAGTTTACGTCTTGACGCAGAATTTCACTTATTCGCAAATATTTAGCAGATAAGAAATGGTACAATAAACATTGCCTAGCTGGGCGGTACTGTCAATATTTCACTTGATGTGGTATCAGTTATCAACATATAACTAAATAAACATGTGAAAACAGGCTATTAATAGATTTTGAGTAAACACCATTACAAAAAATGTAAGGTAGTTTACGCCTTGACGTAGAATTTCACTTATTCGCAAATATTTAGCAGATAAGAAATGGTACAATAAACCTTGCCTAGGTGGGCGGTACTATCATTATTTCACTTGATGTTGTATCAATTATCAACATATAACTAAATAAATTATGTGAAAACAGGCTATTAGTAGATTTTGAGTAAACACCATTACAAAAAATGTAAGGTAGTTTACGCCTTGACGCAGAATTTCACTTATTCGCAAATATTTAGCAGATAAGAAATGGTACAATAAACATTGCCTAGGTGGGCGATCTACCAATATTTCACTTGATAAGGTATCAATCATCAACATATAACTAAATAAACACGTGAAAACAGGCTGTTAATAGAGTTTGAGTAAACACCATTACAAAAAATATAAGGTAGTTTACGTTTTGACGCAGAATTTCATTTATTCACAAATATCTAGCATATAAGAAATGGTGCAATAAACATTGCCTAGGTGTGGGGTACTACCAATATTTCACTTGATGTTTTATTAATCATCAACATATTACTAAATAAATGTGTCAAAACGGGTTTTTACTAGAATTTAAGTAAACGCCATCACAAAACGTATAAGGTAGTTTACGTCTTGACGCAGAATTTCACTTATTCGCAAATATCTGGCATATAAGAAATGCTGCAATAAACATTGCCCAAGTCGGCGGTACTATCAATATTTCACTTGATGTGGTATCACTCATCAGCATATAATTAAATAAACATATCAAAAATGCTATTATTAGATTTTAAGTAAACACCATTACAAAAATGTCAGGTAGTTAGTTTACGCCTTGACGCAGAATTTCACTTATTCGCAAATATCTAGCACATATGAAATGGTGCAATAAACATTGTCAAAACAGGCTAATATTAGATTTTGGGTAAATACCGTTACAAAAAATATAAGGTAGTTAGGAGTTATAAAAGGTAGTTCATGCGTTTGTAATATTGAAGCAAATGGTGCAATAAACATTGCCTAGTTGAGCGATACTATTAATATTTCACTTGATGTGGTATCAATCATTAACATGTATCTAAATAAACGTGTAAAAAAAGGTTATTAGATTTTGAGTGAACACCATCATAAAATGTATAATGTAGTTTACTTCTTGACGCAGAATTTCACTTATTCGAAAATATCTAGCACCTAGGAAATGCAATAAACGCAAAGTGACATGGCAAAGGAGGGACAGGGACCGTGTTTGATGAAAGATTCCCGTTGCGTTTTTTTCAATTTTCATTTTGAGTTTATATCGTTTGATAAGTAAGAAGTGACGTGCTCGCGATCAAAGTTTCTACCCATTTTCGTGAATGAGGAGAAATCGCGTTTTGCAAGTATCTGATTCATACGACGGTAATACAATAATTATTATTGTGCACATGTCAGAAAGGTGCGGCGGTTTGGCCTAGAAAAATTTTTCGCTTTGCTTTTTTACACCTTGCGCATTATTTTCGTCCATCTTGCTAGTCGTGTTATCTCAGTCGCGGTTAATGTATCTAGACGAAGCGTGGGCGTAATAGAACGTTTCGTTTCAATAGTCTGCTTTTGTTTCCAGCGGCGGAGATACAATGGCACCGTCACAGAAATAAATATATTATTTGTCGCCCGCAGAAAATTAACAATTTTGCAAATCGGTTGTATGTTTTTTTTTCTGTGAATTATTCGGATTGTAGATGTCGCAACTGCTATTGTAACTTTATAGTTAATTATTCAAATCTCCCTCGTTCAATTTCTCATTTCTCGAAATAAGAAATGACGTCGGCGATTCTTGTGCTCGGACTGACGTAGGCGTGACACTTTCACTGGAAAAAATGCGTGTGGCCATAAAAAAAATCAAAAAATATGTTAATATGCGGTTTTCAGGTAAAAAAGTTGTATGTTGCCCACTATTAATAATGGAGAGGGAAAGTGGTTATTGTTACATGCTAAAGAAACTGCTTTTTATTTCATGTTTGCAGCTTTGGATAATCAGTTTCGCAAAATTATGGATGTATTTAAACTGCTATAATTGTACTTGGACCTCAAAATGATAGATTAGATAGATAGATTGGTACGAGTTTGTGCAAAACAGCACATTCACTGTGTGAATTGTGATATTGCGAAAAGTTGCGATCCTTCTCAACTAAATAATAAATATAAATAAATTTCTTTTATTACCTCTTAATAGTGCAATTAATTAATTTTCGACATGTTTTGATTACGGAACAATTGTTCAGTTTGTCTTTGTGTCTCAAGGGCGTATTATGAGGAGTATTTCACACAAATTTGTCTTCCAAAATTGAAATCTGTTGATAAGGTTGGTTTACATTTTTTTAATGGTCTGCCATTATAATTGAAAGATAAAAGTTTGAAGTTCTGTTTATTTAAAAGACTTCTGCAAATATTTTTATTGTCCTAAACACTGTATAGTGTGAATGTTTTTTTTAAGAAAAGGCGTTCTTCGTGTACTAAATAATAATAGTGTTAAAGTGGCACTTTTTGCACGCCAGGTCAGTGCATATTTCTCGTAATGTTTGAAAATCACCTATTCTAGTGATCATTACACCTTTTTAAGCTTTTGGTACTTTTGAACTAAAGAAAAAGGTACTTTTCTTAGTTAATCCTTTAATAAATATATGCCCCCTCACATTACAAATTTAGCTTGGTTTTTGTTTCTTCTTAATTTAACTTCGAATCTTAATTAATATTGTCACATTTTATGCGTGCTGATATTTTTTTTTTATAAAAACAAATGTCGCTATGCAGGAAAAAAGTTTTTCTTATTTTTTAGTTATTAAAAATGATTTTCTCGCTGCTAATTTTTTTAAATCAAAATATTGAATATAATATTAGTTGGCCAGGCTGAAATTTTTGACGGACAATGAATTTTAATTTTCTTGCTCGCAAATAATACTTTCCTTAATATTCGCAATTAAATTTTATTATTTTAATTGATTGCATGGCGACACTGCCGATAAAACTTATAAATAATTCATCAACGACAGTCTTTTAACCTTGAAAAGAAAGTGTTTGGAACTTGCCCGCGTCTCCTCTCGGCCATCGAAAATTCCAGAAGAGATTCGATTTTCTTTCGGCATCTGGCCGACACTTTTTATTCCGCAAAATAATGTAACATCGTATAGCAATACTTGTCGCATTGCGACGCTAATTGCATTAACGGTTATCTCGTATCCTTCAATTTAAGACCGAAAGTGCAGTCTAAAATTCGAAGCCTACGATACGACGTAGAGGCCGGAGACGATAACGTTCCTGTTGTCGTAAATTTGTCTGAGTCCGCTGAAATTACGTCATATCCAAAGGAGACCAGGCAAAGTATTGCTAAAGAGATAACAGTTGTTCCTGTTAATCAGTCTAAACATAAATGTAAAACACGAAATCTAACCGATTTTTTGGATTCCATCCATAAACAATTTCATGTGACTGTCGTTTATAATGTAATATTATATTCATAAATGTAAAACTAAATATTCCTATGACATATTACTTTCACGGAATTTTTTGTGTCAAACTTAAATATGTTCCAAAAACATACTAGAACATATGAGTTCAACGCGTATTATAAAAAAAAAGTGCGCGAAAATGAAAAACCACATACATCAAGAAATAGTCTATTATCTATATTATAACATTTTTTTTCGCGTTTGCTATATTTCCTAGGGGTGGATTTGATTAATGATTGGTTATTCAGTTAAGTAGGTTTTAAAAAAATCAATTAAATTTGACTTTTTTTTTATTGTTTATCACATTTTATGAATAATTTTTTATTTATCATTTAATAATTTATATAAGTATATTTTTTATTTTTAATGCACTAGTCTCAAAAAACGTCGTCCACGATATTTTGTTTAGGACAAAAAAAAAAAAACGACTAACAGGATAATTTTTATTTTTTACGTTTTTTATGTGGAGCAGGTCTTCTCTCGTAAAATGAATAACTTAGCGCCATAACAAGTAGCCCACGTCGTGGCCTTAGTTGGAGATGGGCGATCGCAGCAATATGTTGCTGAAGGTACGAGAATCAATCAGTCTCCCGTTTGTAGACTGTTAAGAAAAATTTAGAAAACCTGGAAGTTACAATAGACGACCATTTGCAGAATGTCCCTGGTGCACCAACCCTGTAAACTGTTCTCTCCATGGTCTGGAATTTTCAGATATCTGTCAATTCGGTTGGAAACAGATTATGGAAATTTGGAATAAGATCCAGAGTGCCTGTGACTGCTACCTTGTTTAAAGTTGACAAACGAATTCGAATATTAACGACTGAAGTTTTGATGAGAAGGTGTTCACTTTTCGAATCTCATAGACGTGTTCCAGTTTACAAATGTTCAGGGGAGCGATTTCTTCAGTGAGCCAGAAATTTTGTTGGTGGCTCGTTTTTGATATGGGGAGGCTAATTTTTTTCAAGAGAGTTAGTCGTGTTTCGTAGGGGAACGTTAACAGCTTATCGCTATATAAGAGAGGTTACAATTATTGGCGATAATTTCGTCTGCGCGTGGGTAGAATCATGATGGAACTTCAAGAGGTTGCCATTGAAATTTTAGATTAGCCAGCAGTTAGCGCAGGCCTAAACCCAATCGAAAATGTTCGGACTAAATAGGAAAGCGGATAAGAGCTCGTAATATTGCCCCAGACCATCTAGAGGCCTATTTTGTTACTTTACATTTTTTGTTTTTTCTCGAATAAATATTGTTTGCATTATTTTTGCCCATTATGTTTTGATTTTTTCCTTATTACTTTAATTTTGTTTAATTTAGCATTAAGCATTGAACAATTAATAATTTTTGTTAATTTAAATTTTTCAGGGATTACAATTTTAAAGCAAAAAATAATTTAAATGTTAACTTTTAACCTTTTAGCCCTATCCTTATGACTGTTTTTTCCCTGCTAAAACTTTGAGAGGATTCCCTACATTACTTCAAATAACAATTTAATTAAGAAGATGGAAATTCCTCTAAAATCATGCATACATGTGCGGGTACACCCGTAGTGTACAATAAATGAATGTTTTATTTTCCAAAGAAAAACAATTCTTTTTATATCGTGATCCAGTATCAGTAGCCGTAATTCTATAATTGTGAGGCAGTTAGTGATGAATCCTTGAGTGCAGTAGCAGTAAACTGAGGGACAAGCCATTATTGACCTTGAGAAGAGTGTAGTGTTTTTTGGTCTTGGTAACAGCAGGCAACCGCAGCAGGCCCTCGCGTTTGATATGTATGTGATATTGACTGTCGTAGCTCTTCGCCTTTATGTGCCTTTATATTCATAACGTAGAGAGTTCGAGTATTACATATGTCTCTGTGAATTGGGTATAGTTTCCCTTGAGAGTGTATGATTTTCAAAATTTAGTTCATACCAATACCGTAATGTATAAGACTCTACAAGTAATATGTATATTAAGAGGAGTGCTGTCTTTTTTGATAAAAGATAAATACCCACTTCCTTATTTTCTTAGAGAAATAACGTATATGATTGATTGTCCCACTTAAGTTATGGTTCAATAATTATTCCTAAATATTTGATTTTAGCCTTTATTTTATTATGTCATTAGTCCTGTCAATTTTTATATATTCACAATCTGGTCTATTTGCCGTAGTTAGACAACACGCGATGTAGTGAGCTTTTTCGCTATTTAAGGATAGATGATGTTCATTCAACGAGTCTATGAGCAAACTACCCTATGTCACATGCCTAGTGTCACCAAGAAGAAGAAGAAGAGCGGTATCATCAGCATATGATTAATCCCTATTAAAAACAACTTTAGGCGTATTCCTTTTACGTGATAATTTTTGTGACGAGTGTTATTGTAATAATGGAAACGACAACCGTCGTCGCTCCTCTTAACAGTGATTTCCGGCCTGAACGAGTATAAGAGGTGCCGATATCGCGGCGGTCACTTTCGATTGATACAGATCCGCCGAAGCCACGGCCATCCTTGGCCGCGAGCGAAAAGGTGAAAGATTGACCCAAAATTTCACCACCCAAAAATAAGTGCGTGCGTATTCCGCAAGGTACCGTCCTGGACCGCGTTCGAAAATAGAGGTGACGCGGCCGTAGATCTACGTGACGGAACTGCGGAGAGAAACCGGGGATTTCCGATTTTCGAACGCCCTCCTGCGCGGGCAGTGTCCTTCAAAGTGGGGGACACAAAAAGATGCACTATATAACCGCGAGGGTACTTACGAAACGGTATCAAAAACTTCCGGTACCTATATCGGGTAACGTTGGGTACCCGAACCGCAAAAAACATCATGAAAATTTTCGTGGTAAGTATTCCGGTTTTTTTTGTGTTGTGTTGTTGTTTGGTTTATTTATATTATTATCATTTGTTTCTGGTCGTTTTCCATTTTTTTCCATTGTAAACTAGTCTCCTCAAAACTGTATGTGAATTGCCATTTTAAACATAACGGCAAAACTTAAGTCCAATGATATGGTGCAAGATAGAGATCAAATATACTAGTTCCTTTTTTTTATTTAAAAATTTGGACTTATATGTTACTTTTGTTGGTTATATAAATTTGTTTGGTGTTTTTTGATTTTTCATTGTGGTTGTCTTACAACCTTATAATATTATGTTCCTTCTTTCTTCTGTAAATATACACCTTTATGTACCAAGCAATAAAAAAGTCTCGTTTAAAATTTAAGAGTTTTTGGTGTATTATTTTTCAATACAAATTAAACGGAAACTAAAAATGTCATCTTAAACATAAAGCCAAAACTTAAGTCGAATGAGATGGTGCAAGAGAGAGATCAAATTTACTACCAATTTATTTATTTTTTTAGTAATACTTACTTTTATTCTTTTTTGTATTTGTATTTTGTATTTTCATTGTATTTCTTCTGCAAATGTACATTTTTATGTAGCAAGCAAAAAAAAGTGTCGTTATTAGGGGTCGTTTAAAATTTAACAGTTTTCTAAAATTTCACTAAAATATACATAACGTACTTGTTGTATGTTCATTACAAATTCCAGGGAAACTTTTTGGACTTTTTTTAGCCAGATATTTAAATTATTTGCTAAGGTGTCATGTACACATTATGTAAACATTGTTTTTTCGTTTTAATCGTAGAGTTCATAACGCTAAAAGTTGTTGGATGCTATGCCAGTAAGAGCAAGGTATTATTTTTCATGAAAAAATTGCAGCTTAAAGTTTCAATCAGGTCTTAAATTTATTTGACAGATTTTCCACTCGAACGATAATCAAATCAAATGGAAATGGGTCAATTTCGAAGTTACAAAAATCACTTAAAGTTAAATTTTAGTTTTAGGCATATACAAAGTTTTAAAGAAAAACCGCTTTTATGATCAATGTTCGTCATATATTAGACACATCTTTTCTCTGCATTTTGTTTGTGTATTCACGTCATACTTAATAATTACAGTTTATTACAAAAAGAGTTGAAATAAAATCATAAACATTGAACAAATAAAAAGGCAATATCGAGTATTTCATGGACAATGACATTGACTCCGAACCAGATGTTTAAATATTAGTCCATATTTCTTGACGATATCTAATCCACCCATTTAATCCCATAAATGTTTCATTGGGTTAAGGTCTGGACTGCGTGTAGGCTAGTAAAAGGTCTCAACATTGTTTATTTTTCTTGCAGTATGCCGTCTGGCATTATAAAACTCCTCTTGTAATCTGGCAAACTTATTCTTTTGACATTAATTGAGGTGAAAACATGAATAAAGAAACATGATGCTGGAAATGGTGGCATTGACTTGCACAGAATGTCACAAACATTGAGTAAAAATCTGTTTTTTCTCAATACATTTTGTACCTGCCTAAAAAAAAATCTATGTCCAAATCATAATTTTAAAAAAATATATATCCAAATCGAGTCACTAGTTTGTGAGAATATTAATTTTGTGCCCAAGTTATAATGTTACGGTAATTTTGATGCGAAGTTTACGTGTTTCGATGTTGTCCTAGCTAACCGCAGCTAGCAGTCAGTTAGCACTAGGGCCAGACAGGAAGTCCTAGAAAATCTAAATAACCTTAAAATATCATGGAACAGTGTTAATTAATTTTCAATTTTTTTTTATCTTGGCGTTTGATATAAAGTTTTTTGTTATTCTTGTTAGGCTGTTGTGGTTTTTAAATCAGTTTTTCCTCCTCATACGACTTAGGTTTCATTTAGCATTTGATATAAATATGACTTTAAACTCTATAAACCTATCTAACTAATATTTATCTTTTAACTTTATGCTATACAAAACTGAACTGACAGGACATTTGAGATTGTAATCACTGATCATATTTGCTCATAGATAACTACTGCCTTGGTGGCCATAATCCAAGCTCGTCCGGAACCACCTTCTGGATACAGCTACCCCGTGCCAGCGGGCGGCGGTCTGGACGTCTCTCTGGGCGGCCCCAGCATCGGAGGTAGCCACGGAGTCTCGAGCATTTCGCTCGTATCTTCCGGAGGCTCTGGTGGTTTTAGCGGAGGACACGGCAGTTTAGGTGGTGGCCATGACATCTCTGGTATCAGTTTGACTAGCGGAGGTTCGTCCGGTTTCTCCACCAGTTCGTCATTCTCTTCCGGCTATCACGGTAGCAGCGGAGGATCTTCTTTGCTTTCCGGCGGAGGCTCTTCCATAGGCGGAGGCTCTTCCTTTGGCGGAGGCTCTTCCTTTGGTGGAGGTTCTTCATTTGGCGGAGGTTCTTCCTTTGACGGTTCGGGCTTAGGTCTTGGCGGGGGCGGAACTCTTGTTCAGAAGCACATCTACGTTCATGTCCCTCCACCGGAGCCGGAAGACTTTAGACCACAAAGGATCATTCCAGCCGTTCCCGCCCAGAAACATTACAAAATTATCTTCATTAAGGCTCCGGCTCCGCCCACACCGACCGTTCCCGCCATTCCCTTGCAGCCGCAAAACGAAGAAAAGACCTTGGTGTACGTTTTGGTGAAGAAGCCCGAAGATCAACCCGAATTGGTCATACCCACGCCTGCACCAACGCAGCCCAGCAAGCCCGAAGTTTACTTCATTCGCTACAAGACGCGTAAAGAGGGCGGCGGTGGCGGTTTTGCTCTGGGCGGTGCCTCACTTTCCGGAGGAGGTATTTCCGGAGGATCTATATCTTCAATCAATGGTGGAGGCCTTTCTGGAGGATCGTCGCTGGGCTTGGGATCTTTTGCCAGTTCTCACGGTAGCAGTAGCTCGTTCGCAAGTGCCATTAGCTCGTCGTCTAGTTCTAGTTCTATATCGGGAGGTTCGTCAGGTTTGTCCACTAGTTACGGACCGCCGGGACACGTCAGCGGCGCCCCGGTGGGGCCTTATTAGGACATTAACCGGTCGAGAAAGTGATGTAGGGTTCAAGAAAAAGTGGTGCGCTCTACCCCAGATGAACCGTGATATTAATTCGTTTTGTATTCTCATTTGTACATATGCCATCGCTAGCGTTTAAGTTATTTTACGTATTCGTTTTTTTTTACTGTTATACGGTGACAAATAAAACTAATTTTCACGAACGCTGCCGTTTATTTGATCGCGGGGAAACGAAAGTTTTTGATTTATGGGAGAAATTTTTTTTGGCGATCGGATCGACATACTTTTATCGCGATAGTTTTCGGCGGTTAAAAATTTAGCGAGCTTAAAGCTCATAAATATTAATTCGCCGACTTTTGCGCGGTTAAAAGAAATTTCTCCCGAATTAGACCTACCCGTAATTTACTTTCACGGGATGACTCGTGCATTTTCGTTTTTAATTGGTATGTCGGTCCACCAATTATGCGGTTGATGAAGCAGTCCTCCCTAGTAATGGCGATTCTCAACTCGAGTTTCGAACGTCAATTAGAGTGATCAAAAACTTTTATTTTGATTTCTATAAAGTAGAGGAGTTTGGAGGGGTTCGTTTAGATACGAGTATTCCATGTTCCAAATAACGGAATATACCCTTCAACATTTTTTGATACAACCGTAATGACATTAAGGTATTGTGTGACATGTTGCGTCGTCTTGTTGAAACCACATCTCCTGGACATCATGGTTATTCAATTCAGGAATGAAAGAGTTAATAATCATAGCTCTATACCGATCACCATTGACTTGACGTTCTGGTCATCATCGTTTTTGAAGAAGTACGGACCAATGATTCCACCAGCCCATAAAGCGCACCAAACAGTCAGTTTTTCTGGATGTAACGGTGTTTCGACATACACTTGAGGATTAGCTTCGCTCCAAATGCGGCAGTTTTGTTTGTTGACCTAGCCATTCAACCAGAAGTGCGCTTCATCGCTTAAACAAAATTCGCTTATGAAAATCGGGAACAACAGCAATCTCGTTTTGGGCCCATTCGACGAATCTACGAATTACTTGATGATCGGTTTGGCTTTAATTCTTGCACGAGTTGGATTTTGTAAGCACGTAAACCAAGATCCTTCCGCAAAATCTTCCATAAAGTGGATGGACACAGATCCAATTCCTGGGCTCGATGGCGGATGGACTCATTCGGATCTTCCTCAATGCTACGCTCTACAGCAGCTATAGCTTCTTCTGTACGCACCTTACGGCGTCTCTGGGGATGCGAGTTATCAATAAGAGTAAACGTGGTGTGAAAACGTTCCATGGTTAATCGAATTAACTGCTCTGATGGATGATTTTGTCGACGATAAAGTGGACGTAGTGCGCGATACGTATTCCGCACGGAACCATTATTTTCGAAATAAAATTGCACTATTTGCAAGCGTTGTTGAGGCGTGAGTCTATTCATGATGAATGCCAAATCAAACTGAGAATAAATCACTTGACCGCTGTTAAATCGGTCGCATTCGTGAACAGTAATGCCAACTTAAAGTTCTATACATCGAAAAAAAACACCCATTATTAAGCCATTAGGAGTATTATATGGTTTATGAGTAAATTTTCAGGCTACTCGTATAGAGGTCTCTTAAAATTGTCTTACTCAACAGAATTGTCCGTTTTATCATTCTGCGCTAATTAGGAGCTAACAGGCTTTAGAAAAGAAATTATTTTGCTATAGATATTCCACGGAATTCCTTAACCTTGATCTACTAAACAATAAAAGGAAGACCGTGTTCTTGAGATTAGGTCACTGACGATTACGAGCTGTTCAGGTTGGGAGAAAACATTGAACGAAGATTTGTTCAAGAAGGAAGAGTTCCATCGAAAACCATTTACGAAGCTGACTAGAAGAGTAGAAAAGCTGACAGAAACTTAAAAATAAAAATATGTACAAAAAAAAGTGGTTTTAATCCTCGTTCAAATTTAGAAAATATCTTTTTTTGTTCTCCAAAACCGCTAGGATGTTTTCAAAAGCAGAATGATTAATACCCGCGTTAGTTAATCTCTTTTAACATTCAGGCAAGCTTATAAATAAATAATTTTCCCGATTTTTTGAGTCATAAATTAGCGTGTTTCGTAACACCATTCGAAATGTCATCCTGATATTTCATTAGACTCACTTTGTGTCCGCAAGTAGGCAGACGTTTCGATTTGCAGAAACCGCCGCGAATATGTTTTACCTACTTTCGTCACGTAGTTAATGTTCGTCAATAAATAAACAATAAAAATTAAGCATATACTAGTACAGCGATGACCATCCTAAGAAAAAAGGACAGTGAAAATAGGTGGTAAAAAAAACTTTTTTGTAACATATAGACAAATCCATGACATTAAAATGCTTTAGTCAGTATAGTAGATTAAAACTTTTGGAAAACCGATTTTGGAAATAATAAATCTACCATACACTTGCTGCATTGTGTTGTCTTTCTTGTTGTCAGTGGAATTTGTTTGACTGAATGTGTTCTCTGGCTTATTTGCCACATCTACTAAAATAACTGACCAAAACGATCGGCTATAACCTGAGTGCTTAATTCTAATAATAAAGAGACAACACAACTTTAAACAAATAAAATTGAATCTGCCTGCTCTTCAGAAGTGAGGTCTTCATTATAAAAATGTTACAATGTTTTCTTTCTATTTCTTTTTTTGTGATCGGTATGATTTATTTCTTTTATATTATATTTATTATATTTTGTGTACGTATTTTTTGTTACTTGTTAGGTGTAACTAGTCGTAAGACTAAATTTCTCCATTTGCTATCTTGCAATAAAGACGTCTTATTAATATTATATGGCTTTGTATGGGGGTTCCTATAAAACCTTCAACGTTTACAAAAAAGGCTCATTTAAAATGCAAATTAATTAAACATTGTGTGGATGTGTACCGGGAATTATATGGAAAAGATTTAGGTTATGCCTACTATGTCTATGATATGATATATAATCGTATATATATCTAATTATCAGGGTTAATTAATTAATAAACTTTTTTTTTTTTAATTATTATTTATTAGAATTAATCACTGTTTTTGTAAATAATAGCATTTTAGAATAATCTGCATTTTGTTTAAACTATAACAAATATTTAAACTTTCTGCCAGAAAACTTCTAATTTATTGCGAGCAACAAAATATAATGTGCGGACTTATCATATTATCTCATGTGCACAGACGCAGAGACAAATCCCTACAAAAGTGGCATTCTATATTGACGTTAGAAGCCTTCAATCTGTTAAATTCTTTAGTCATTTTTTGAAAGTAAGATAAGTCATCGCATACATATCAGCCGTTTTCTTAAATATTTGACCCTCAATTGAGTACTTCTTAATTGACCGGTAATTGACCACTTCTTAATTAACCAGTCAAATTCGATCTAAATGTCTTAAATAACAATTGTAGAGTGTTATCTATCATTATTTAATAATAATAATAATAATAATAATAATAATAATAATATGTATTTTATAATAAATCATTATGCGTTTGTGTGTTTGTGTGTGTGTGTGTGCGATCGTATCTTTGAGAAACACCCGAATACCATACTTAGCAATTTGGGAAATCTCAATAAAAATATCCACTCCACTTAGTTCTCAGAACGACGCGATGGCGACGTAACCCACAATAAAAATAAATATATATATATATATATATATATATATATATATATATATATATATATATATATATATATATATATAATAAAATTTTTCCGTGAATTGTCACAGTTACCAAAACTTTTTTATAAAATATGACAGATAAAATATTGTTGTTTTTAGAGCGGATTAGAAAAAAGTGACAAAATAAGTGGAATAGAAGCGCAGTCAATTCTTGGAGATCCTTGAACTAACTTCAGAAATTGTAATTTAATATGACGTATAACATACATCGGGTGGAAGGATATGTAAAAAGTAGAATTTCCTGCTGTCAATTAATATTGACGTCTGTCGTGGGACAATAGTTGTTACCTCACAATCGGATGATAATAATGCGTAACTAAGAAGAAATGAAGACGTGCAGAAGAAAATGTGAAAACGTGCCCGAAGAACGTCACGTCCATAGAGAGTTATAAAATGCCTGCCGTCGGGTTATTACGTAGACCTTTTTTCCTTTTCTGTAATCTATTACGGCGGGTAAACAGAATTGACCTCCAAAGGCATTGCGGCATGAAATTAACCCATACCCGGGTTTTATTAATAAATTACTTTGGTTTAAGCCCCGTTTTCTTGATTGATGAATTTAATTGACGCTTAATACGGAGAAGTTCTAATGGCAGTATTGCAAAACTTTCTTTATCCAGCCTGTTAACTGACCAATGCCGAATTTTGAATTAAATTCGGTAATACTTTACACCTCCTACTAAGCAAATACCAGACTTGAGTGATTGGTTGATACTTGACACACTTTTTAACATCAATTATTACGCACATTCTATAAACAAAATGTAATTATTGTGCCGTCAAATCCTATTTATTTATTTTATGTTGTACAGAGTGTCTTATAAGTTGCGTTCTGTAGTTGTCGACTCCGTTGAGATTAGTTCGAGCAGATGCCTTGCAAGCTAGGCCAGTGACCAACTATAAGAGCCATGGATGCACAAGCAAATACTAAAATACTAAATATCAATTAATAACGAATTGAAAAAGTATGTTGTTAATTTGTGTCAAAGGGTTCTTGGGAATAATTATTTTTGATTGCGACAATAACTTTTGCGGTAATATTGTATTTAAAGTCTCGATAAAGCTGTATACATTGGGCAATATTTCAACAAAGATCCATACTCCTACGTGTTTGATCAATATTTTGTACATGGTGACTGACCATTGAAACGAATTTTATTTAACAAATGATGAAACATTAAGTTGATTATCACAAAATGAAGAGACAAATATGCAATATATATATATATATATATATATATATATATATATATATATATATATATATATATATATATATATATATATATATATATATATATATATATATATATATATATATATATATATATATATATATATATATATAAAACACTTCGAAGACTCACACAGTGTTCTTCTTCTTCGTCTACTTTTCGTCTGAACTCGGCTTGAACAGACGAGAAGCAGAACGACCCGACTTGAAAATGGCAAGTGAGATCTTGCCGAAACGTTGTCTTTTCTATTATAGGTTAATCAGTTTTTGATTTTTGGCTATAGTTTTCGATTTCTATCGTCAGAATTTGTTTTGCTTGATATTGAAATAAGACGTTGCCGTACAGTCTGCCTTGTATTTAATATTCTGTATGGTTTAAAAATATCTTTACTCGGATGGAACACTTTTTTAGGTATTGTTCTTGAAAAATATTTTTGTAGAATATCTACCGGTTTGATATTGGTGACACGACCCCACCTCAACTTACACTGTCCAAATTAAGTATTATTTGGACTAAACCATCTCTAGCACAATAAGAACATTTGTAATTTTCTTTACCTAGTGGATCCTATCCCAAATGAGGATCGAATGTTACTCCCAAATATTTAATATATGTATGCTCCCAGATTTCTTGACCTTAATTAATTAACATTTTACTTGTTTAAATACAAATACGTTTAATTTGTTCTTATATCCCATACGCACGCCTTTTTTGTATTTATCATCAACAGAGAAGCAAAAACAAAACAAAATTCCTGTACAACCTAGTGGTCTACCTACATGTGATAAAAAGGCACAAATTTCAATGCCAAAGTAGGATAAACTATGGATGGGCGCCTCCCTGTTGACTTTTTGCATGTATAGCGAGTGTTCATTACTTTACACCAATTAGAAATGGCAACTTATGCAAAAAAGTGCAACTTGTTAGCCTGAGATATATAAGGTAAAGCTCAAAGAACCCATAAGTGCGAACCGACAGTTAAAAATTATTTTTAGCTACTTTCATATTTTTTACTTAAAAGGTAAATATCAATTGCAATATTAGCGGCGACGAGCGGTGGCATAATTTACCACGAACGGAAAAGTCGTTACGATTCTAGATTTGCATGTAGAGATTCACAAACGATTTGCCGCAGCACCCCCTTTCTGAAACTCTTGAGCGATGAAATGGGCAATCATCAATAATTATTCGTCGATACAGTTGCTGGAATTTCATTTCCCTTATCATCTTATTTCGGGAGAAACTTTAAATATGTGTTGAAAAAAAACAGCAGTATTCTTAAAATCTCCAACGTAATTGGTTATAAATTGGTTATAATAATTGTTTATTTCATGTTATTTGTATTTGTGCATTAAAGAGGTTTTTACATTAGAAATATACCGAGTTTCCCAAAGGACGCGGAAGTGCTAAATCTGGTATATTATTAGAAGTGACTTCATCAGTTGCTTGACCAAAACATTGCTTATCCCTCTTGGGATCTAGGTTCTAGCTTCCACGTGCATACAATAGATCTACATTCCTTTCAACAATAGAGTTGTACGAAAGAAAGAGTGAAAGGAGGTTTCACGATGCTGTAGATGTACAAAGTGCTTCAAAAGGGTAGTGTATTATACACACTTAGTAACAAAGAAGCTACAAATATGGCAGAGATATGAAGTTTTTACTTTTTATCTCAGAAACAAAAAGAGAAAATTAAATGTTATGGGATTGAATTAGACTACCCCTATCATTCGCACTAACTAAATGTAAAGGACAATATTGACATGGAAAAAATACCTCTGTTTAATTTAGAAACTTTATTTAAAACTTTCAAATAAAAAAATAAAACTTAAAACATCGCATTTCGAAGAAATGGAAATTTATTTTGGAAAAATAATTTAGTTGGATGCTCTTATATATTTTATACATACCGCTTTCAAATAATAGAAATAACAATTCTATTTTCTCCCATATTTGTAGCTTAGTGTCGACCTAATTGTTGACCTTGAACCCAACGATTATTATAAAAAAAACTACGCTTTAATTTGAACAAGGATCTCTCACCTATGGGTGTCGTATATAGGGATTATCAGTAGTGCCGGATTTAAAATTAATATTTGCAACATTGCCCTTAAGTTCATTATTTTAAAGATCGATTTTTGTAATTAGGACGAGGTTTTGAAATTTCGTAACAGATATGAAAATAAAAATTTGTTTATTAGACATTCTTCAGCAGATTTATAAGAATACTATTTTCAACCTCTTGCCATGTTTTGCAAATATGGCAACGTGGCAGATCCTGGTGATATGGATGTTCCAGAATTGACAATAAGGACCGATACACTTATTTTTAAATTCTCGGATTTTAATTTGGCTGAAATTTGAGAGAAAAATGCAAGAGCACCCTGTAGATAAAACATTCATCACCCATTAACCTCAAATAATTTTCGCAGTAGGCGTTGCTTTCGCTAAGCCAAATCAACGTTTTTTCGAATAGAAAATCTCCTAATTCATAGTCACCGTTTAAGTAATTCGCAATTACATATAAAACCTATGATAAATTACCAGCGTCCGTCGTTTCTCAATCGCTAAAACAGAACGCGTTATGAATTATAGTGTTAAATGTTTTTGTCACCTGAAATCAATTATGGATTATACAATTTAACACGCGAGAATTGCCCGAAGGGGAGCCCCCGCGCGTACCCCACTCGCCGAAGAATAATTGCTAGAGGTTGTGACCCTATTTTCTCCGTTGTTGTTAAATGTTAAAAACGACAAAGATCTTGAAGATGGGCATGGTGAAGAAGAAGACACGACGTGTAATATGGGAGAGTACCCCCCTTCGCCACTTGAATCATGTATAAAAGACTTTGGGCACCCGTTTTGGTACTTGTAGTACATCAACTTTGGATTTAATCATGAAAATATTCGTGGTGAGTACTAGTGAACAGAATATTGCGGTTCGTTTGTGTTTTTAGTGCCCTTTCGGATATGTGTCGTCGGCATTTTATTTGTTCCTCCCTGTAGTCGGGAAATTGATTTTTTTTGTTTATTAACCTTATTTTAACGTTTTTATTAACAATTTTGTCGAATTTTGATTGAATTTATAAAAATTTGAGGTGGATACGATCAAAAAAGTTCGAATGGAATATAGTTCTGTTTCTAATTACAGACTGAAGATGATTTTTTACATTTTTATCAGGTGTCCCTAATAATTTTAATTTTATTTCACATATTGATCCATTGTGTTCTCATTTTTCAAAGTATAACCAGGATAAGTTAAAAAATTACTATAACGCATTTAATTTTAATATATTTTTTCAATAGATTAGGTGTTAAAAACAATTTGGACTTATGTAGGAAAATCTTTTCGTAACATCCAAAGAACTTTATAACTATATAAATCCGGGCATCGTTATTCATCAGATATATTTGAAAGAGTTTTTGAATATAATGCGAATTGTGTACAATTACTAAAAATTTGTGTAAATTTTGCTCTAGGATTATTTAGTACTCTCGATGAATGTGCTTGAGTTCCCTTTTCATCTTTGTGTTATATATAATACACTCAGCGAGTAAATATAAAAGCCAGAATGAATATTGGAGAAATTCCAAAATATGTTTCAAGACTTCAAGGAGTTTTCTTCCATTTCCAGTATAGTTATGTGTTAAGAAGCCATCTGGATAGTTAAAATGAATGTTGATGAAAGCAGATCTACAATTAAAATATAAATCGATCTCGATTGTAGAAATTTGCATCGACTTATATTTTTATTGTAGAGTTTTATCTTATTTGACCAACATTAGTTCTATTCGAAATGAAACGTTTGCAATCACTAAATTTAAAATTGCCGGCAAAGAAAATATTATCTGACCTCTCAAAGTGTATATTTAATTTTCAAACTAATTTCCAACTTTTTGAAAATGACATTAAAAATAAAACGTTTTGTTGTTTTCCTCGAATTAAAAAAAAAGTCTCAATATGAAATAAAATACACTCAACAGGTACATAAAAAAACCAGAATGAATATTTACGGAATTCCAAAATAGGTTTGAGGACTTCAAGGAGTTTTCTTCCATTTCCAATATTATATTATTGTATTGTATAATTATGAGTCAAAAAACCATCTGGAGAATTTGATTTAATGTCCAAGTCTACCATTAAAATATAAGTCGACACAGATTATAGAATTTTGGAAATTTCTACCAGAATCGAAGTATCCTAAAAAAGCCGCTTGCCAAGTTATTTAAATATTCAGAAGGTATTTTAAAATAAAATTTATGAATTCCAACTGGCGATCAGTATTAACTAATCAACATCTGAAATAATGACCGAGAAATACTTTCAGCAATGATCCAGAAATTTTAATATCTAAATATTGTGTATTTTTATTTATATGTTATCAACAAATTTAATTTCTCTAAAAACTTTGTTTAATATTTATTTAACACTTATTTAAATACGGCTAGCGAAAAATTTCAAATTTTGAAAAATGTTTCCGGACTACCAAGGACCTTGGCCACTCCAGGTGTGAGAGCATTCATTAAAATGTTACTGTTGAGCACATTCTTCTAAAATATTTCCAGAGAGCTGAAATTTTATCCTGTTTGGTTTCCATCTTTACTGTTTAAATGTCAGAAGGCATTCAAGTTTTTACCAGATATCGTTATTATCATTACATCAGAGTGTAGTTTTTTGAGAGACCCAATTCACAATTCCAGTAACAATCAGTAATTTTACTTTTCTGTCTCGAATCATATTACCATTTTCTGTTTTTATCACAATTCCTTTTGACTCTAAAAACAAATCAAAACATCTAACATAATTGGTTTTCGTATAAAATTTTTTTCTTGGGACTAGTGAGACATTCATCTTTTCAGTGCCGAGTAACACCCTATTTATTGCACATAGTTAATAAGATGTTGTTGGAGTGGGCACCAAAATACAACCCAATTATTTTGTAAGGCCAATAGAACAGATGGCTCTTTTTGGGGCAAAATCAAATTCAGTTTCTAGAAAAAAAAAGTTGAAGAAACTTGAATGTTCTAAAGGTCTTTCGTTTCTCAAATTCTCCCTTGTATAAACGAAATTTGATCGTAGCTAATAGCCTCCGTGGCCACACTGTGCCACTGTAAGCCGCAATACAGCTACCCCCAACCTGCTCCCCCTAGCGGCAGCTATGGAGCTCCTGGAGGCGGAATCGGAGGCGGGGGACTGATTGGCGGCGGAGGTTGCGGCGCCGGTGGTCTGGGTGGCGGCTTCGGCTGCGGAGGAGGAGGAGGTGGTGGCGGCGGCGGCGGAGGCGGACTCATTGGCGGAGGAGGCATTGGCGGCGGTGGAGGCGGAGGTGGCGGCGGTGGAATAATCGGTGGTGGTGGCACATTGGTGCAAAAACACATCTACGTTCACGTCGCCCCTCCAGAACCGGAAGAATTGCGTCCCCAGCGTCCGATATCGCTCGGACAAGCCACCAAACATTACAAGATCATTTTCATCAAGGCACCGTCCGCTCCTGCACCAACCGCCCCCTCGTTCGCACTCGGAGGTCAGAACGAAGAGAAAACTTTGGTTTACGTTTTGGTTAAGAAACCAGACGACGCTCCCGAAATCAACGTGCCAACGGCCGCTCCTACGGCCCCCAGCAAACCCGAGGTTTACTTTATCCGCTACAAGGCGAAATCGGAGGTTACCGGAGGCGGCGGAGGTGTCGGAGGCGGAGCTGGAATTGGAGGAGGAGCTGGAATTGGAGGAGGAGCTGGAATTGGAGGAGGAGCTGGAATTGGAGGTGGATCCGGAATTGGAGGCGGTGATGGTTTGGGAGGAGGAGCAATCGGAGGTGGGGGAGGCGGCGGCAGTGGTGGAGGTGTTTCTGGAACCTACGGAGTACCTTCAGGATCTTCTGTGAGCCTTGCCACAAGTGGAGCTTCGTCGTCCGCAAGTGTCAGCCGACCAGCTACTAATTACGGCCCTCCAGGACAAAGCGGACCCTACTAAGTTTTGTTTATGTTTTACTTTTTTAATTTTTAGATATTTTTTTATATCTCAACGCTCGTTATCGTGATGATGTGGTCGTGTGAATAATCCCGTGATATTTGCCGTAGACTTTTTTTTACCCGCAGTTACCAGCAATGTGTATAGACTCGTAGTTTTATGTATATATATATATATATTTTTTCGAATTTTATATATTTTATATCCCCTTAGGTTGTAAGATAGAAAATTCAAACGGTGACAAATAAATTATTTTTTTATAGATATCGAATAACGTTGTTTTTCTCAAAAAACTTTGCTTTTTTCCATGTCAATGTTATGGATGCATTGAAAATGTCCTTGCACTGCAAGCCTTAATACTATGAGTAGATATACAAATTTTAATGCCTTTTGAACATGCAGTCAAATGAATACTGTGTTAATCGTCAGACTGAACCCATAAAATGTAACTTTAGACATATTTGTTGACCTTGTACAGTAGAAAGCATTAGAAACATTTATTAGTGACCTTAGAAGTTAATATACCTAATATACTGTCCTTACCTTTAGGATTGTTGGGGTTTTGGTCGTTATGTCTACGAATGTCTATGTCATCAATCAACTGATACTCTTCTTCCTCCCGGAGGGATACACATAGGCATTTATAATATTAAACAAATTATTGACGACTAGCTAAGATCTGTGGCACTGTTTTCTGATTATTCTTAGCTATTTGCATGATTAAAGGAAAGAATTGTGGTCATTAATGTCGTTCTAGTATACCTAAATCGACAAGGAAACAACTTGTGACGGACCTGAGCCGCAATCTCGAAAACTTGGCCTTGATTTGGGGAATTAATTTAAAATATTCTCACTTTTATTGGCTTCAATTTTAACCCAGACTCTCAAAAGATTTGCGTAAATTAATAATTTTCGGACAAAATGTCAAGATTTCGTTCCTGATGGGTGCTTAAAATTGAATTTATGCTTCGCCTGAGGTCCTCCTGCGAGTGCAAAAAAAACAACAACCACGTAAATCAAAATACCACTCGAACACATTTCGGGCAGTCGAAAGGCATTTTTTTTTCTAAATTGACGATGGTCATTTTATTTAATTTCGTTGATAATTTGAATGTTTAATCGCTTTGGCCCATCTTCAAAGAGCAAGGTTGTTCTATTATAGCGGATGAATTGAATAAAAACTAGATATAAAAAATAGTAGGTAACGGTTTGATAAAATAAAGCAATTATATAAATTATATTATAAAAATATAGAGTCAGTGTCGATTTTTTTTACAAAAACTTAAATAGAAAATTAAATTATATTAAAATTTTCAATTTCCAAATTCAATTCGGTGTGACTAAAAAATTACTTGAACAATTTTCCTAAGATACTGATACTGACATTCTTCAGAGCTCTTTTGTCCCAGCACTTCGATATTATGTAAGGGAGCCGGATGAAAGTACCAAATTATAGGTGCCCAGCAGTCTAGAATGGCGGAGGATGGAATATATTTAAGATTGACTGAAACTGATTGATAAAAATGCTCATCACCCTAAGGCATTTTCAAGACCTACGATTTTTTAGTAAGTGGTTCTTAAGATATCTAGATTACTTTTCTTATACATTAGAGCAAAAAGAAATCAAATGCGGGAATTTGGATATCCTTGTTGGTTATAATAATACTACCCAAAATTTTCCAAATTGGTGAGGCAAATCTAGTTTTATTTTGAAATTGCCATAAAATTTATATATGCCTGTTATTTTTTACGATATTGTGTATGTTTTGTTTTGGTTAATTTTTTGAATTGAGTAAAAACTCTTTCATACTCTGTTAACCAATTATCTTATTCAATATTATTAGAAACATATAGTATTCCGACGGATGCAGCAAACAAGATGTCAAGTGTACTAAAAAATGAAAGATATGGAAAAAGTGAATATTTACTTGCTGTAATAATAAGATTCGCCATGCCAAGAGTATGTTTTGTTGTTCGGGATATCCAAAAATACAAAAATATTAAATTTTACTTTTTCCCAATTTAATACAAAACATTAAATTGAAATATTTATTATCCCATTTTATTTTAATATCTACACAGGGTTGTTTTTTACACCGTCCCCCCTGTAACCAAAAAAAAAAAAAATAATGTCATATAAATAAATTACATTACAGGCGGCATTTGTTTAAATATTAAATTATTTGTTTAAGTTTTATGCGAACACAGACAAATCTTGACTTAACTCTTACGTAATCAAATAAAATAAGCATCGTCGACGTTTCCAATTAATTTCCCTTCTTAATTAATCTTTGTCTTTTAAGAGGATTACTACGAGTTTCCGTACTAATAGTCAAACATTATTTATATAATGCCGTCAAAGGAAACGAACGTTAAATGACGTCGTCTTTCAAATCCAATTAGTTCGGCAAACATTACGAAAATCTTCCCAAATTAATTAAAACCAAACAAGAAATATCGCGACCGTCTGCGTGCGGAGCGTAGTTCGGTCCTGGACACCCAGTAGATCACATTTTTCACGTATTTATGTTTATTCATCAATTTATTCCCTATTACGTAATGTCTTAACCGATCGCCCATTGGTGTAGATCTTGGGACTTACCCTTAATATGCCCCACAACGAAAATGTTAAAAATTCAAAATAAGTTTTCCCGGCTGCCGTGCTGTTGCGGAAAATCGGTTGGATTTCATTTTATCTTTCTCTTTTCTCGCTCTCAATAATCAATCAATAATTGTAGAGATTAATGTTCTCATTAATAAAATTGTTAATTAGTTAATTGGTTAATGATTATGTCGGATTGACTTCAAAATTTACTGTCGCTAATCATATAGAGCTTTTTCGATACTTTAGTAATAGGGTGGGAGCCATTGGATATTTTCAACTTTAATCACTGATTCGATTTGATTTATTTGATTACTTTGATTACTCAGTGTATGTTTTCGTGACTAAAATGTTGTTTATGAAACTTTTTGCATGACAGACTAATTTAACCAAACAATACTTCAGATTTTGTTAATTCCTTTGTTGGATATAGATATCCATATATATATATATATATATATATATATATATATATATATATATATATATATATATATATATATATATATATATATATATATATATATATATATATATATATATATATATGTATATAGGGTGAAGGTGGCAACAAGGGATCAACTTTTGTTTGACACGCTGTAGCAAAAAAGTTATGAAAGTTATAACTTTTCATTTTATTTTCAACAAACTATGGCTACACTACTTTAATTACCCACGATTACTTTTTGACATAATAGGTTGGTTGCATCATGACGACCATTTTTTTTTAAGTTTGCAAATGATCCATTGTGTACTAAGGTTAGGGTACAATGGCTCACCCCTAAGTAAACAATGGATCACTGGAGTACACAATGGATAATTATTTTTATAAGTATTAAAGAATGGACATACTAAAATGGATATAATTTTTTATTTATATTTATAAAAATAAAATAAATTCAGGTATATAAGTAATTGGTTGACAAATCCCTTATTCGCTAGATTATAATTAGCAACTATATTTTGAGACTAGGTACTAATAAGTCAAGTACGAATAGGTAAATGATAACTCATTCTTTTAGTAATAACTAAAGACATATCACTTTGGTAACGACTAAACTTGAACAAAACATAAATGACAGCTTCTTGATTCTCTAGGTCATAACCAGTAACAAAACTATCTGACCTAAGGACTAGAAAAAAAGAACACAACGAAACTTAAATTAAAATTGAAAATATTGTGGATTTCTTACATCTAGGCGCAATAACAATCGACATAAACATAACTTCTGATATTAGAGATCATAGTAATAAACAAACAAACAGAATTAAAAAATGACTTAATTAACGTTGAGGGCAGATAAATCTAATGGGAAACTATAGAAAGACTGCTGTCTTGAGGTACTGTCACTACAAATTGGCTTTGATAATATCAATTTGACGTCATCTTCTTTCACGAAAGATATGTCGGGCACATTGGGAACTCGAAATTTATTTATTTATTTATGTGCCCTGTGCTTTTGACTTAAAATAATACCGTCTTAATGTTGTAAACGGAATTCCAGTTGTTCCAGACACTTTGCGGAGGCTATCACCCATTTCAATTCTTAATAAAGCTGCCTTCATACTAGCTGCGGTAGTGTTCCCTCTTGTTCGCGGCCTTTCTGGACGTGGCATTCTGGAAACAAACACTGCGTGAAAAAAAAAACATCTAAAACTCAAAAATTAATTTACGACCAACTCTCATTCTATTGGGTACACAATGGATCATGATCCATTGTGTACTTACGAAAACTGAGCCATTGTATACTAGGACGCCATTAATATTTAAAAATTGTACCCAGCCGTAAATTAAACATACTAATCAAAAGTTTCTGCAGGAAAATAAGCCTAATTAAGTACATTTTAAGGCACGTATATCAGCACTAAGTTATAGATATGAAAATACATGATAGAAAGGTTCAAGTCTTACCTTCTAATTCGTATTTTTGCAACCAAGAACCAAAAACAACGATCAGCACAAATCAGCCTGGCCAACGACGCACATAAAAACGGTTTTGTTTGACATTTTGACATTTTGCAAAGCAAATTTTGCAATAACAAAAAGCTAACAAACTAATGTATTTCTCGTCTAATAAATTTTACGAATTGAATAAATGTTTTACTTTTTTTTATTGAGTTATGGAAAATTATTATTTGTTGAAAAAATTATATAATTAAATTATTTTCATATGAAAAACTATATCAAAATATATTAAAATTTTGCAAAATCTGTAAATGCCCCATTTTTATGTTATGATATTTATTGCCATTTTACTGTTTTTCCCACTATGATAGTATTTAAACTTATACGTAGGACGAATTTGAACAATTAATTTAGGTTCCGCAAATAGAGTGAATTATAAATAATATGCAGACAAATGTAGCTAATGTAGCAGAATTTCTGAAATATTAATTTACTTTATGTTTAAAATGTAATTTCAATCATATTAAACTAAATTAATAAAAAAGAACAAATATTGTCAAGGATAAAAAAAATGTAACATAAATAAATTGGTCGGCCATAAAGAATTATAAATCTATTAGTGTCACAAAATTAACAATTTTTCTACTTTTAAAATTAGAAGAAAAAATTTAAAAAATCAACCCAATTTTATATACTCTGATTACTTGTAAATATAAAAAACTCTCGCAAATATTTCCGGTAATATTTTTCACTTCCTAGCTTTTGCGAGCTAAGCAGTTTCCGATATAGTTATAGATTAGCTCAAAAAAGGCTTTCGGTAGACTTATCATTAAGTTAATCATTATTGGACCAGATCATTGTCAGCAAATTTTCGTCTCCCGTGTAATATGGTGTTAACCACTTTAGCGCGCGCCGCTGGTCATTCATCAGGCGAGGTGAATGATTTTATTATGATTATTTCCAATCCACATACGAGATTAACGCAAGGTGATGATTTTTAGTGGTTTTTTTATAAAGTCTAAATGTTAACTTGTGTATCGTAACCTTGGCTTAAGGATGTCCACCGTTTAGGTGGGGACCTTATAAATACTTTTAATTATCATATCCCGATCGATAGTTCTTCCTGACCCATTAACCATGAAGATCTTGCTGGTAAGTACTGCGTTTCGGTGATCTGTGACGATTCGGTGCATCGTGTGTTTTCTTGCAGCTGGTCGCTTTTGTGGCTTTAGCCAACGCGGACGTCAGTCACTTACAACATCCGGGCTACGCGTACCAAAAACCCGCGGAAACTTACGGCACCCCGTTGAGTAGTTACGGAGTGCCCCAAGGTTCCGTCCAGGGCCTTCCTTCGTTCGAGGGTTTCGGATCGGCGAAGTCTTTCGACCAGTACAACCAGGACTACTTGAAGGCGTTCGCAAATAGTCCCGCATCGTCGCAGCTGAGTTTTTCCAATATACAACAACCCGGATCATTCCAAGCACCAGTTTCCGCGCAGTTTGGTCTTCCCAGTGCCCAACAGGGTGTATCGTTCCAAAGCGCCGGATTCTCCAACCCGTCTCCAAGCGTCGACGTCTCCAACTTCCAATTTTCGACCCCAGCACCGAGCGTGGACGTGTCTAATTTCCAGTTCTCTACTCCAGCGCCCAGCGCTGATCTATCGGCATTCCAATTCTCTACCCCAGCTCCGGCAGTAGCGTCGGCCGGTGTCTCTGGCGTTTCCGTAGCTGACGGTCAATTTTCTACTCCCAAACCTTCGGTCAATGTGCTTCAGTACTCGCAACCTCAATCCTTTGGTTTCGGATCGGGTTTCAACTCTGCCAGTTTTCCTGGCGCTTCGGCTTCGGGTTTCGCTGGATTCGGACAAAGTGTCGTCGGCAAAACATCTGGAGGATCCATAGACGACGCGTTTGGAGCGTCGAACGATGCCCAAGTCGGTAACGAAGAACAGAAAACCCAAGTGTCCAAGCATTTGTACTTCTTCGCTGCCCCGGAAGAGCCGGAAGAGGAAGTGAAACCTCGCATTAATTTACCGGCCCAAGCCGCCCAGAAATCGTACAAGATTATCTTCATCAAGGCGCCGACTTATAAATCTCAGCTTCCGATCAACATTCCCGCGCCGCCAGCCAACGAAGAAAAGACTTTGGTCTACGTCCTGGTTAAGAAACCCGACGCACAGGCCACCATCAACGTGCAACCGTCGCAACCCGCTAAGCCTACCAAACCGGAAGTATTCTTCATCAAATACAAGTCGCAAAAGGAAGCTGAAGAAGCTGTCGCGAAGCTTCAAAGCCAGTACGGTGTTTCTGTTAGCCCCAACTTCGAAAGCGCCAACGCTTTGGATTCTGCCTCGGTGCCAGCTGGAGTCGGAAGCCAGGCTGAATCTGGTTTTTCCGGTTTCGGTCTAGAAGGAAGGAACGCGATCATCTCCAGCCAACCCGAATTACCGTCAGGTAGTTTTGGGTCTTTGTCGCAATCCGAGGGTCAAGGATTTGTGGGTTTTGGAGGAAACTCTGTATCCGCGCCCGAAATTAAAAGCTTTGGAGGCGTGGTATCGAACCAACCCGAAGTCGTCGGTTTTGGAGGCTTCGGTAGCAGTACCCCAACGCCCGTAACATTCGGTGGGAATTCGGCAGATTCATTGAGGGTGTTCGGAGCCGGAGTTGGAGGTTTGGGTCAAGTCGGATTGTCGGGAGGAAACGCCAATTTGCTGCAAGCCAAATTCGGCTTCAACGTCGGCAGTACCGAATCGCCAGCTGGCGCTGGGGTTAGCGTGGAATCTTCTAGTCCCGCTGCTGTTGTTTCGAGTCCCGCGGAAGAGTCTGCGCCCGAGGAGGAGGCTTCTACGGAAGCTTCCTCGACGGACGATGCGTCTCAGAACGCGGTAGACAACTCTGAAGTTGCAGTCAGTACCTTGGCCAGGAGCGGCGACTCCGGGGTCAACTACCAGTCGGAAGGGTCCAATTTCTATCAGACCGGCTTCCAAACGTACGGGGTACCCAAATAGAGACGGAATCGGCTTTTTATTCTTACAGGGTGATTGATTTCTCGATGCCAAGCGTTAAATACTCGCGTAATTTCGATATACTAGTTTAAAAATAAACAAGAGAGGTGAAACAAGTCTGTAATAAGCGTAAGCATTTTGTAAACACGCATCAACTGTACAGTCGTCATCTTTTGTACATACACATAGCGGTAATAAAAATATCATTAAACACGTCGTCGTTTCACTCCGTCCGATCGTAAAATATCCGTGAATATTTGCTACATACACGCGCTTTGATATTTGATGGTACCAAACGTGATAGGAGAAAGTGCGGAGGGAAAGTATTGTAAAACGCTTAGTCGGAAGTGTTATCTGTGGGCGTTTCCTATGTCGGGCGCAAAATATCCTCGTCAGGCAGGTGGTGTCGTTGCTGAGTCACGATGTTCTGCGGGTGGGCCTTCGGGAATGTTGCGGTTAGACGCGTTGGGGTATTTATGGCCGCCTGCCGATTTTAAAGGTCGCGCGGCGGATGTTCGTTTCCAAATTTATTCCGAATGGCGGAAAAAAAACTTACCCGAAGGTTACCCACAAACGGGACCAGATTCCTCATTTTTATGTTAATAACGGCTGTCCTTTTCTCTATGGTTATTTTATGGCGTCGGTTATATAATGTTTTTTTGTACGTACGCCACTGCAGTTTTGTTTTATTTAACATGAGTTGCGTCCGATGAAGAGGGAAGTGCTTTCAAGTATTTTTCCTGACTTTTAGAAAGTGAGCTATTTGGTACCGATTCACGAGAGTGGTGATAAGAGCGATGTCGCTAATTATAGAGGCGTTTGTATAGAGTCGGTGGTTCCTAAATTGCTAGATAAGTTATTTTGTGAGAGACTTTCGTGGCAGAGGAATTCTGGCTGGTCAACAGTCTGGATTTGTACAGGGTAGATCTACCAAAACAAATTTACTCACCTACCAATTTTTATCGAACGATTTGAGGAGTTTGGTCATGTGGATTATGTCTACACTCAGTTAGTTCGTGTTAATAATTATGTCTCAGGTAAAATTGATATATTTTCGGGTGTCCCCCAAGGTTCTCACACCGGACCCGTCCTTTTTAACTTATAAATGAAATTGTTGGTGTAGTTTTGGAGTCGTAGTATCTTTTGTTGCGGATATAGCATTGATGGAGTCGAGATCAAGGCCGTCACTAACACTAAAGTTCTGTGACACATTTTGCAGAAGTGGTAAACAGGTCTATGCGAGTCGTTGGGTTTGTTGTACGCAATAGTGGCCAAGTTACTCCACATTGCTTTAAACTCCTTTATATCTCTTTGGTTCGCTCTAGACTGGAGTATGCATCTGTGATATGATCTCCATATTATGCGTGCCATACGGATAACATTGAAGCCTTTCAGAAAGTATTTTTAAGATCTTTGGCTTCAAAGGCGGATATCAATATCTATAATGGGTACCAGATCAACTACAGTATTGTAACTAAAGTCTTCAATATTGATTCTCTTCAAACCAGAAGATTTCAGAGTGATTTTGTTTTTCTCTTTAAGATTCTGAATGGTTAGCATACAATTGAACGCATATTACAGAAACTGTGATAACTCAATGTTCCGTATGGCCCAAATTATGAAGTTTATTCACCCCTTACTAGAATGCTGAAAGCGTGCAACTGTCTAGAGCTTGATCCTTTTGTCGGCAGCCTCCGCTCTGATGGGTTCTCTTTGAGTGGTACCCCTTAATTCTGTTTATTGTTATTGTAATATTTTGTTCTTGTTTCTGGCTGTTATACTGCTGTCTTCCTCTCTCTTTGCCTTTAATGTTTGTAACAGTTATGTAAGTTGGTTATATCGTAAGTAAATAAATAAATAAATAATATTGCAAGTTGAAGGTCATGATACAACAAGAGCGTGTTAAAATTTATTTAAGAAAATTTTTCCTATAAGATGGCGACCAAAAACGCCGGATCTGGCCCCTCCTATTTTTTATTTGGAGAAGAATTAAGTCTACAAAACACCCTCAAGACATGGTAAATATTTAAAATAACAAATTCGGTATGCTTGTTCCAATTTGTTGGCGTTGCATTTGGTGAACTAATAGAGATAGAGAATCTTTTTTCTTGCCAATTTCTACCCTACCTATCCTTATGTTTGATTGCGCTGGTTGTGTCGAAACGGTCTTTAATGGCACTAAGCTTGGGAACCGTGTTTCGCTTACACTTATTCTTGTAGCATTCCAGTCAATTTTATTTCCAATTTCTCGAAACGATATCCGTCTCTCTCGTAGGCTCGTATGTAATTCCCTTAATTGACAATCTCCTTCCAGTACACTAAAGGTCATAAAACTGAATGGCTTTAAACAAATGTTAAAAAATAACAATAATAAAACCTGTTTATTTCTTGTAAAATTATATGAAAGTCTGGTGTGGCAAACAGGATGAGATAAGAATCTTGCTTTATTTACTGCATCCAGGAATTCGAGCTATAAAATATTATGAATATTACTGCGCGTCTTCCAATTTCTTTGACACATAGTTACGGTGTAGAACCAAGACAAAAAATTTATCTTTTTAACAAACTATGAAGTTGATTTTGATTCAAATATGTTTGTAATAACTCATTCATTTTTAAAGTAATTTGATACCACATAAACGGTGTCTTAGAGTATTGCAAGCTTTACTAGTAAGTGAGTTACCTGTGTTGTTATTATATTTAACATTAATTTAAAATTGTTTTATGTTCCACAAAGGAGTGAGTATTTTATAGTGAAACACGCTATTTGATTGTTGCTGGTTCCATTTTAATTTTCTAACTATTCGATTATTTTCTAATGTTTGAAACTGATAAATGTGTTCTAATATTTAACAATTTCGTTGTCTGTGATTCAAGCAAGTATGAATTTTGTGATGGTGGATGGTGTATCGCTTCAAAACGAAATATACTTTCTACCTCCGTCTGCCGTATCACTGTGAGTTTTGTCCCGTAGAATATGTTGGCGAATGAATGGGTTTTTAGACAGGCAAGGCAATTTCTATATAGAAACGAGACGCAAAATATAAGATATAAACGTATATATATATATATATATATATATATATATATATATATATATATATATATATATATATATATATATATATATATATATATATATATATATATATATATATATACGTCATCGTATATGGTATTTACACATAATACTGATAGAAGAAGATACCATTTATGTGATATCAAATTAAATCGATGACGTAAAAGTGTTTCTTTACTATTATAACTGTGTTTGGACTTTCAATTTTAACACTTTTAAAATGAAACCTACTTGCAAAAAGCAACAAAGACACTGGATTGTGAAAATTGGAGTAAGCGCGGCGAGCATGTGATTAAAATAGAAGAAACAATCTGGGAAGTTGATAGCATGCCAGAAAACACTGTAGAACCCCTCATTATTTCTCTTGACTCCAATGACTATAGTGCATCGGAGTACTCGGAACATGATAACTAAAACTTACAAATGCAGAAAATAATAATACAATTTATCTATTTTCATATTATTCTCTATTAGTTTTTGTTTAATTACATTATTCTCTCGCATTAACAAGCATAGCATAGATATTCTTTATTCTGTTCTATGCTTCCATTAAATTCGTATATAATGATGGCATCAAAGCCAACCGGGTTTTTCAAAAATCTGAATTACACTTATTTGATGATTGATGATGCGATTCGACTCTAATTTACTATAATGAAATTCTATGAAAATTGAAGATACGTTTTTTGCAGTGCAGATTTTTGAAAAACCCCATTTGGTTTTGATAACTCTAACTCTAATTTGGCGTTAGTGAGCTAATCACAACTTTCCAGAATGGAATATAAATTCGTCATACACCAAATAGTCATATAAGCATTGCGAATAATGGATAGAAATAAACAATTTAAAAAAAATGTAAATTTTAAACATAAAAACGTAATTTTTATTTTATATTTCTGGTTGATTATAGGTCCTATTCTCCAGCGTCCAAATTAGTTAGTTTTTTTCTAATGTCATCCCAATTAACACGGTTTATTTTAAACAATAAACTGACTTCGGCTAACGCAGTAAAATAAACAGTCACCGTATTAAATAAACCATTAAATTTGAAGATTCTCCGAACAATATTTTAGTGTTTCGTTTTTGATAATAAAACGATCAACGCAACGAGGACGCACGAAACGGCTTTCTCTTATTATTTGTTGAAAAAAAAATACCCATATTTTACGCAGGTTCGCATCGCTGGGCTATAATTTTCAGCCGTTTTAAATTTATATGCGTAAAGCATTCGGGTACCGCGCCCTTTGGGCGAATAAGTAAGCGGATTTCTTTTCTTTTATGCCTGCCGCTTTCGAAAATGAAAATCCTTAATGGCCGTTTTTTTTTCTTTTTGCTGTTGCCATTGGCATGGGGGACCGTTCTGACAAATTTTCACTTATACCACAGGTAGGGTTATAGTATTTGAAAAAAGTAAACCGTATTTTATTTTTTAAAACTTTGAAAAACATATTTTTTCGAGTTTTTTTGCACAGTTTAACAATTTATGATTATTTTTTAAAGTGTTCATAAAGCTTCTCCACTCTTCAGGTGAAAACTAAAATGATATAAGGCTATAGCTACAAAGCTTTAGATATGACACCAATTCACAAATATTTTTAAATTGTTGTGAAGTGTTGACTTACAAATGACTCAAAATCTGTCCTGTATCTGAGATTTTAATGACAAATGATCGAATAAAGAAAGCCAGTTACTTTGATTGAAATTAAACCATTATTATTATTAAAGATTTGTTTTGTAACTGAGCACACTTTTTGTTGTTTTGAATGTTATAGACATCTAAAATAGTTTCATTATTTGCTTCTAATGTTTTAATTGTTTAATTGTTTCTTGGAAATATTTAATACGTGACTAGCATACAGAAGATGAAGACAATGAACTATATTATTATCAACTTCTGTATCTAACTTTAATAAATTCTGAGTAACTATTGGACAATCAACATCCAAACTAACAAAGTAATTACAAATTGGTCTCCAGTTAAGCAAAATTATATCTATTGCTGGTAGAAGTGATAACCACTTGTTCATACGTGCCTTTTGATTTCATGGAACTCTCCTTCATAAATTGCTACAAATCTTTTCATCTCTTATGTCCAAAATTTGCACTTGGGTTATCAGCACTTAGACCACATGCTGGGCCGAAAGACAGTCCAAAGACCTTATGAAAGCAGAAATTTCATAAAAATCTTGTAAAAGCGAAATAAAATATAATGTTTTTAACAGTATGGTTGGCAACCCTAAGCACAGGGTAACAAAATGAAAACAAAAATCGCTGCCGGATATCCAACAAGTATTTAATGTGTTGATTCCAAAAATGTTTCCAGATTTTTTCTATGGGCTTTAGTTTTTGAGATACATGTGAATTGATATTAGTTCTGATCACAAGTATCCACCTGTCTAAATCATCTTCCCGTTTTTTTGTTATGCGTGTGGTTAATATATATAATATATATTTTGTTGCACATTTGGAAGGTCCGCGCGAAACTATCACGAGGACTGCTATTTTTGTCTCGTTGATATTAAAGTGATAGATAGAAATGATAAACAAAAAGGGACATATTCTAACCCAGATTCTGTAGAAATTTTCCGAACTCACTCCATGCTACAGAAACTTCAACGCCTAAGGAGGACAACTTCTCAGTGTTTCAATGAAAGAAAACTGAACGATCCTCAACTACTTATAAATATTAAAAGAAAAGAGTCTATTATATCCAGTCAGCATTTTATAGTAAGGCTCTGCTCAGGAAATTTACCTGATATTCTGTATCAATACTTAAAAAAATGAGTTTGCCTGCATATATTCCAGATGGTGGGTGCGTTTTTGTTGACTATTCAAAATGTAGTTTAAAATGTGTAATTTTACTTAATTATTGCTTAATTCCTGTTGGTCTACTACCAGGGAGGAGGAATATGAAACAATGTAACTAATTTTGAAAAAAATTAAATACGAAAAACATCAGTTTCTCCCTGGTCTTCGAGATGGTTATAGAAAATAAATGGCTTATTGTTCGTACCGAAAATCTGTTCAATGAATGATTGCAAAAAATATTTCACTATCTATCTAGATTTAACTATAGTTAATCCTGTAATTTCAACTTTCAAAGCGGTTCAAAATTGTATTATTTGTTTAAAAACAACACGTAAGTGGTTGCGTTATTCTTAGTTATTGCTTTGGTAATTTATTCTCCGAGTGTTAAGCAAAACCCAAATCAGAAATGTCGCAACTTTCGGTTTCATTTAAGGTTCAACCGCAGAAATAGAAACAATAATATGCGGATGTTTACAGACATTTTTAGCAAGTTTACTAGTAACCTTTAAGTATAGTATTAGTTATCTGTTGCTGGAATTACCCGAAAGCAAAAGTTAATCGTGATTCACTTCTGTTTGCTTATGCGATACGAAATTAATCCTGAAATTTTTTTTGGTACTTCCGCTACTACCATTGCATACGTCAGAAGAGTTTGTTCTTAAATATTTGTCTTTAACGTCCGCTTAATACGTTTTTCCCAAAAAACATCGATACACAAATATTATCCCATCAAATATTTGCATTAAAATAGAAGCGGCCTAGCAAAGGCGGCCATGAAATTTAAGTGACGCTATTCACGGATGATGCTCCATAAACTGTTCTTCAGTAGTTCAGAAAAAAATCCAAGATTTGCATTCAATTCTTCTCTGTTTCTTTGCAGCTTTAGGTCTATGAACAGTAGTTGCTGCTATTATTCCCCACATTTAGGGTGTACTAGTAGGAAAGCATAAATAATTATTTCTTTTTAAGTCCTTTTGGTTTTTCTATTTCGGTTGCTGTGTTGGTGGTTTTTGTTGACACTAGCAACTGCTAGTTATTATTAAAGCTATTTGTAAATTATGGTTTATGAAAATAGTAACAGGGAGCTCCGATTTAATCAACTTATTATTTAATTAATTTTAATTAACCTGGAGTTATGTTTAGGTATAGGAGTTATGTATTAGGTATATGAAGGAAAGCCTTTCAGTTTAAACATGAACATAAAATTTTGTTATACGAAAGCTTATTTTAAATTGTTCCGCTATCTGAACTAAATTTACTTCATATCCTTCATACTTAAGACAAGTCAATGGACTTCATTGTAACATGTGTGGTCATTTATGAATTGAGTTGTTTTAGAAGATAAAATGTCCTCAAACAAGTTCGGATACTTGATATTAACTGAATGTGCTATCAATTTATGTTAAGTTATTTTTTATTTAAAGAATTTAAAATTAAGTATTTTTTCTGTTTACTAGAGAAACTAACCGGGAGATGGACTCACCTCTAAAACATATTTTTTCTCAAAAACAATTATTTGTTAATTGTTATCAATATTTGGGTTTACCATCGATAAGCCGGGTTATATCTATTATTTGGTTCCTTATAAACCAGCATCCCATTATAAACTTCTGTATTTTTCTTTATACTTTGGAAAAAGGGTATTTGTAGAATCCTAATTTGATGCAGCACCTTCTTTTTTATTGTTGCAGGCGGATGGTACGTGCTGAGGGACTGGAATGACCAAGATTTCGACGGAATGTCCGTCCTGGCCAAGCTCCAAGTCCACTATGGCACCTCGCCGTACTTCAAAATTCACGTGGAGCCGAATCCTCTCGACCCAGGAGCCTCCAGTATCAGAATTTCCCCATCTGGATTGGGGTTACCGGATCGGGATTATTACTACAGAGATACAGACGATAGAGTAAGACCCTGGTTATGTTTTAACATTTATACAAAACCGAATATGCAATTAGTAGTAGATTTGAACATCCCGCGTTGCTTTATTTCAGATTCAAGCAGCGTACAAGGAATACATCAGGGACGTTATAATTTATTTGAGCAGCACCACAAACGAAGCGAGCAAATTCGGTCAGGACATGTACTCGTACGAAAGGAGGATAGCAGAAATAACGCCCAGCTTGGTGACCCTTCAAAACCCTGTCGTTACTTATAACGCGATTTCTATTTCTGAGCTAAAGGCCACTAATTTGGTGAGCACTGAATTAAGTATTTTTATTCTATGCTATCCCATTCATGACCCCAGTGCATCCTAGTTTCTGGCAGCTCCAGAATTAAATCTCTTAATTATTTGTTCGTTAATAGTGCACAGTTGGTTAAGAGATTAATAAGATTTGACTGTCATCCACTACTTCCATGATATGAAAGTGGCTTCTTGCCTTATCAGCATTCGTAAGAATAGTAAGACCTTCACGGAGCTAAGATTCTTCCTAGACTGTCGCTAGAAATATTCCTTGGACGTCTCCAAATCCTCATTTTCTAGTTTCCAGGGTCCTGAAGTCTTAGGGTTGTTCTCCGAGACTCGAATCCTACTCTCAGATGTAGAAGTTCTAGTCTCAGGAGGACCTCCATCGACGCAGTTGACGAATAAAGTGTTTACAGATACCGTTCTACGACATACTCCAAGCGATGTACCCCAACGCCAACATTTCCGAAAATACCGAAGTCTTAGTGACGTCATTGGAGTACTTGAATCAAGTTGCGCAGATTATTGCCTCGACGGACAGAAGAACGATGAACGGATATCTGATTTGGACTTTGGTCCGGAAGTATGCACCGTACTTGTCGGAGTCTTATACCTCGGCAGTGGATATTTTTCATTCTAAATTATTGGGTTAGTTATTTTCTGATAGTCCTTTCGCGGTTTTCATAACATCGGGAATTATTTAGGGGTGTCGAAGGCTCGGAAACGGTGGGAAATATGCTCCCAGCTGGTTAGAGACCATATGGGTCTGGCGACGGAATATTACTTCGAGAAAAATAGGCCCATAAGCGCGGAGACCTACGATGTTGTCAACGACACGTTTAATGTTATCTTGGACGTCGTCAAAGAGAGGATCCGCCAGTTTGACGGTACGGATTTGCTCTATCAGCAGCTGAAATCTAAAGTGAGTTTTAAATTTGATTAGTTTAATGTACATGATCCTAAATATCCTTATTTTAAAATTAATATGAATTATGAAAATAGAGACAATTTTAAGATTATGTTTAATAATAATTTATAATTTTTTTTTGCTTGGGTATTATTTACAAATGTGAGGGTGATGAGTTGCCCAAACAAACTTTCTCGATTTCACCATTTTCAGTGTATTTTGAAACAGGCTAGCTAACTAGTTTTTGCTCATGGTGGTTATTCATCTTCTTGTCAAATTTTATATATGAATATTTTATTGCAACTTTACTTACTTACTAGATTACTTTTAACTACATTTGGAGTTTATTATTTTGACTCCCATTGGGGCGGTGGGTTGTGAAATTGACCGGTCAAATTTTTTTGAGTCAATTGACCGCATTAATTTTAAAAATGCAATGAAATTTATAATTATTTATTTATGTTATGCGTTACATCGCCATCTTGCCGTTTTAAGAATTAAATGGAGTGGATATTTTTATTGCGATTCCCCGAATTGCTAAGTATCGTATTTTAGTGTTCGGGTTATAGGTAAATTGGACATCACAAACGTATAATAATTTATTATAAAATACATAGTACTATTACATAACGATAGATAACACTCTACAATTGTTATTTAAATCGTTTTTTATTTATTTTGTTTATTTATTTTTTATTGTATTGTCAATCAGACTTTTCTAACAAATGCATGCTCGATTGCTTATTGTTAAGTTTTACTTTAAGATCAGACCTCTTTCGAAAAACATACCAGAAGAATAATTGTTTTTATAGATGTTGATGTGTGAATACAAAAATTTATTTTCGTAATGTAATTTGCATTTTTTTTTTAAATAGACCTTATATACTTTTCCATTTTACACTTCAACCAAAAAATGAAGAAAAAAATTGAAAATAATTAAAAAAACATTTTTGCTTTTGTCCATGTTTGTTTCATGTATGCAAAAAAATAAAAATATATAGATGTAACACCCCGTATCTCTCTTTTCAACGAAGCTTCCTAGGGAGAAACTTTTTGCCAATCACCCTATATCTACATTCGCTGTACATTTATAATTCCAAACAAAATGAAACGGAAAGCTTGTTGCAATTCAGCAACACACGATGCTAATCCTATTTAACACTTCTGCATTTTTCCTGAAATAGGAATTTTATGTGTTTATTAATTGTGTTTTTATGCTTTACGCTTTTCGTTAAACGTAAAACGAGACATTATATCTGAATAATATTTCTGCATTAAGGTGGAATATATAACTACGAGATATTTACCACAGAATAATGCTAGAATATACAAGGTTGATACAGGAACTTTTGATGGCACCATTAAAAGAAAGTTGAGAAGTGCCATTCATGATGCGCATGCGTGATCAATTCTCATATGAGGAATGGAGATGGCATTGTTAACATTGGTATAGATATCTTGACGGACTGAAACAATGTTGCCGGTGCTAAACATCACCGCTGTATTGTAAGGATTAATACATATTTATACACACATATAGTTCGACGTCTGTTGAATTCTCTGACTCATTTTTGGTTTTGTCTTATAATGCCAGACGTAGGAAAGCCTTTAAAAAACTCAAAATGAACATTGTATCCATTTCCTTAATATTTTATTACACGTCCAAATGAAAGATTGAACTTACGAAACGAAAGAAAACGAAACACGAAAAGATTTCTGTATGGTCATGAATATCTAATCGCTAAGGAGCTGAAACATTTGAAAAAGTTCAAAAAACACCTCAAGACGTTTTTGACTCACACACACGCACAAATTTCATTCTTTGTCCAAATTTCTGCATGTCGTTAAATAAAAATCATTTCGCAAACATTAATAGAAAAATTAAAATATATGTGGGTGAATGTCGACTTCATTGTTATTATTATTGCTATTAGTCTTAGTATTTTTTCTCGTTTGTTTGAATGAATTTGTGTAAATTTTTGTTTACATTTTTATATTTTTCTTTTACTTGTTTCTTTCTACTTTTTTGTATTGTTTGGAAGTAAATGAATATCTATATCTATTATTGCAATAGCTATACGCGTCGAGTAATAAACCATTAAATGTCCGTCCAGCTCGACACGTTGCATCTTCAAATAGGCCTTCCCGATTCTGCCAGGGCCGCCCTGTTCCTAAAGGACTACTACGCCCCTCTGAAAATCATCAAGGGTTACTTGTTCGAGAGCGTCAAAAACAGCGTCGAGTTCCAAAAGAAGGTCGAGCAGAAAATGCTGCTCAAGCAACTCCTCGAATCCACCGTTCTGGAGCCACTTTTCCGGGAGGTCCCCCAGGTGACCTACTCAGCACCGAACAATCTGATCATCGTGCCCAGGAGTTTGGTATCGGACCCTTACTTCGAGGCTGGCTTTCCGAAACCCGTAGTTTACGGACGGTTGGGGGTGGAGCTCGCCGAATCAGTGGTCTCGTCGGTGTTGCCGTACGGCAGTTCGTGGACGTCGGAAAAGAAGATCCTGTCGCCCTTCCACATGACCGTCAACGAGTCTTTTAAGGCCGCACTGCCGGCGGTAAATTGCCTGGCCGAGTTCGTGTCAGATTTAAATTTGGACGTTTCCGTTGACAGAGCGAACGAGACGGGACTGACGCTCTTGAAAAAACTGTCCGCGGTCAGCGTGGCCTACGAGGTACGTTGGTAAATTGATATGGGAGTATGGTTATGTTCAAATTATCTCTGCGACGCAGATTGTTCATTTGTACGTAGAAATTACCTAAATTCACCGTCATTGGTCCAATTGAACACTTTTAAAGGGAAACTCCCCTATCCATAGCAGACAGACCAATGAAAACAACTTGAAATGAGTTTCCCACAAATATAGCATTGCTCCAGTCCTATTTAAAATACAGATTTGTTACCACTTCGTGCAAGTGCATACATATTGTCGTAGCTGTCAAATTGTGAAATTGATTGTTAATATTATTAATATCCTGAAAGAAAAAACAACCTTTTAACGATATTGTCCGGCAACTACTAAATTAATTGTAGTAAGTTTAAGAAGAAACGGCCAATAAAATAGTGGTTTTATTCTACAACGTCAACATGAAAGTTAAAGAGTACCAAGAACACACGTTAGATTAACTTAAAAAAAGCATACATGCCACACAGTGCCAGAAAATTGGTTATTAGAAAAAATGTACCATGTTTCATATTAATTCTTTTAAATTTCTTTGAAACGTTATACCCAGCACCTGTATGGTCAAAATCACAATTTGGTCACTACTATTTCGTGAATCTTTCTATGTCATATACAGAATTTCCCTACCCACTTTTATTTTTGAGATACAAGGGCAATCTTAAAATGATACATTTTGAAAGCCCCCGTATCTCAATTATCTCTCAACTGATTGAAAAGAAGAAAACAGTTTCCTTTCTAACTCTTTGCCTAGAATTCAATACCATATTGATTTTACAAAAATATATTATAAATTTGAGTTTATTTATAAACAAGTTTTTTTTTACAAATTATTTCTTACAAGCAAAACCAAATTAAGAACTAAATTACATTATTATTACTATATATTTTTGTATATAAATAATTCGAAAAGACGGTTATAATTTAAAATTTCGGGATTATTGTAATTTTTTGAACAATAAAGCCATGATTTGCAATCTGATATGTCAAGTCAAGCGTCAGTTATCTTGGCATATTTCTTTTCTAATTTTTAGTCTTCCCATGATTGCAAATTATTAATTTGAAAATTAGAACAGAGACACAAATGTTAAATTTTTGGAAATTGAGTCAAATCTATCATTAATCCTTAGATAAATATTTTGCTGAATACAATTTAGAGTAATACATATTTAGCTTACTAATACAATGATTACAAAGTAACAACTATGCATGCAATGTTTTAAGGATAAATACCAAAATTTCATTTTGGTTTTTTGATTGTCCTAAAAAATTATGCTTTTTGCAATTCGGTCACTGTTCTGTCGGAGCAGAGATATAATGATGTGTTTTATAGTATTTCGAAATTGTTTCTAAAATGTTTCTAAATTGATGAGAAATATTTTGAAAGTTGATTTTACAGTAAACGTTAAGCTAGGTCTTTCTAGTAATTTTTTAATCGGAACCGCCAAAATTTATTAAACATATAATACCACCTTCGACAATTTTGGGCAGAAAGTTTGGCTGATATTGTTATTACAAGAAGTGAACTGCTAATTATTTGATTCAGAACAAACTGCGTAATCTCAAATTTAAAAAAAAAAGGTAGTTTAATTCAATCAACCACAGACATTTTTAATTCCCAGTCTCAGCAAATATTATTAATCTAAAAAAATACCTCATTTCTTCCACGTTTCCACTTTCTCTCCGCCCAAAAATCAATAAAATCAATCCAAGCTTCTTCCAGCAAAATAATGTTTTTCATTCGCACTTTCTATATACCTAATCCGGTGAATTTCGACACATTAGTAGTTATTTATATTGCTATTGAATGATGATGTTTTTTAAACATTTTTATTAGGTTAACTGAAGCAACTCAGTCCTGTAATTTAAACTTATTGTTTGTACTTTCAAGGCTCTATTAAAGAAAACTCAAACGCTGAGTCACATACATCAGCCCGGTTTAGAAGAATTCGAGGACGCAGCTTTGTTCTTCTTGTCATACGGACAGGTAACTAACTAACCGAATCTAATCGGCATGTACAATGAATGTTGTTTCAGTCCCAATGTTCGAATTCGACGAGTCAACACCAATTGTATGACAATATGATTCATTTTAATTTGCCTCAGAATTCAGTGTAAGTGTTCTAAAGGTTATACTCCTTCACAAAATCACCAAACCTTTATTCTTTGATTTATTTGCAGCTAAAACATATTTTTAAATTTTTCTAGATTACATTTGGCGTGGGCACAATTACCATATTTTCCGGAATCCTTTCAGTGTTTACCCAACAAGAAATTACGGTGTCCTGGTATTTTTTAAGTCTGCCGAACAACTTTTTTTTATTGACGAAAGCAATTGATTGTGTGATTGCATTGTAGAAATTATTATTTATTTTTCGCGGTTTTTCTAAAGTGTAATTTACTTTTCTTTGTTTTTATTAAATGACTATATTTTCTAATGTTTTTTATTTATTTCAATCCTATAAAAACCTTGTGTTAAAAACGAAGTGTATAGGTAGTAATTTTTAATAGCTCTTTCTGATAAGAACGGAGCGCGTATTATTCTTGAAACTTCTTTAACTAAAATACTCGTTATTTTTAAAGCATATAGTGATGTAAAGGTCCTACCTTGGCGAAACCCCCAACATGCACATACGCGAGACTTCAAATTTCGTTCTTAATCATTGACCTTGCAGCATTCGAAAACTAACATGGCCAATGACAGGTTATCAAGAAGTTTGGATGCGTCATTTTATGCGCCAAATATGTACATCTCCTACCAAATGATTAGGCAAATAAGAGTTAAGCTTGGGGATATAGCTATATGCAAAGAAATTTGTCGCACAGTGTAGGTTACTGGGTGAAATTTGCAAGGATGCGTGGAAAATCATTTCCTTCTCTTTGAAAATATCAGTGCCGTTTGGGACGCAACAATGTTTACCGGCTTCAGGCCACTAATAGTGGTGCACATTTTCCAGAATTTACACCGATGACCAAAATAGTCACCGTTATTCGGCCCTATTCAAAATTTAATTTAATTATTCTTTCTTTTTATTTATGTTAACCGAAACAGCTATGTGGCTTTTTAACACAAGAAAAAAACATTTTCCTCAAAACATTTGCTGAACGGTTATGTAAACCTACCTCATGCGGGCGATCGTTTTTTATCCATATGATCCGTTTGAATATGCCCACCTAATTTCGTTTAAAAGAAGACAGGAGGCTGATAAACGTCAGAATTCCAACCCTACTTATTTGTTGAATAAATAAATCTTGCTATTTATATAATTATTATTATCTACTTGTAATGTTAGATAGTTGTAATGGCTGCGTTGAACCCGGAGATATCAGAAAAATTGAGAAAGGCCGTAAAGTTGCCACGCCGACAAGAAGCCGACGGTCATGAAATTGATGTAAAAATCTGAGGTGCACTGAAAGTTTGACTCTTTACCAAGCTAATAATTGTAGGTAGAAGTTCGAGAAGATGAAGAGCAGTCGGTGAAACTTCAAGAAATCATTGATCTTTTGGTTGCCGCGGGTTATTTCCGCGCACGTATTAAAGGATTGCCTCCTTTTGATAAAGTGGTTGGAGGGATGACTTGGTGTATAGAATCCTTAAATGTCGACGTGGACGTCGACCTTTTATTCCAAGAAAATTCCACCATAGGACAAAAAATGTAAATTTTTGTTGTCTTTAGCGGTGCAGAATTGAAATTGTTTTTTTAGCGCTCTGACGGAAAAAATTGTAGCTGTACTGCCAAAAATCAAGTGCCCTCACAGAATTGAACCTCATCAGATTCAAGGATTGGATTTTATACATATATTTCCAGTGATACAGGTTAGTGTTCAGTGATTTACTGTAAAAAGAATGTTGTTACTTTTCTTTTAGTGGTTGGTGAAAAGATCTGTTGAATTTAGGCAAGAACAAGCTGCTTTTGTTCGCGCCTATGCCGTTAACCAATTTAATAAAGAATTTTTAGTGGGAAATGAGAAAGAGAGTAGCAAAAAAGTTTTGGAAAACCTGAAACTTGTCCAGGAAGCTTACAGGCAAGTATTATTAAAAGGTGTTAAGCTTTTACTAATAGCAATTCAATTCTTAGACCTCAGCGTAGGTATAAAAGAAAAAATGCGCCTCCTCCTGATGTAGCGTCACGAGTCCAAATAACGTTATTGGAATACGGATATAGGTTAGGGGAAAATTCACAAACTTCACTAAAAGATGGGCAGAGTGATTTACCCATACAGCAACAATTGGAAGAGGTAAAAATGCATTTATTTATATTGTATTTTTTCTATGTTCCGTGTATTGCAATGCATGGGTTTTTGTTTTTTCATAATGTTATTTTTATTGCTCTTGTTGTTATTATTTGGAATGTGTGTGTGTGTGTGTTTTAGCAGCAGATTCAGCAGCTTTTGAACAACCTAACTGAGACTAAAGAGGTAGGCAATGCTTTTTCTTGTTCATAATTTTATGGAATTTTATATTTTGCTAATCAAGCCCATTTTTAGGACCTTTCTCAGTATGACATCCTCGATGAGGAGGATCAGAGAAAATTGAAATCCCATTATAAGTTGTTACATTCTGAGCTGAAGGTTAACTCGTTCATATAAATAGGTTCCACTATTTGTGTTGGCAATTTATTACAGGAGGGCGGAGTTCAATCCCCGGAAGAACAGCTGGAAAATCAAAGAGTAAGACTGGCCGAGAACATTAGAACTTTGGAAAGTCGCAAAGCAAAGCTGCAGGAAGAAATAGAAAAAGAAACTGAATCACTAAACGAAATAAGACTGAAACAGACTGAAGTTGACAAAGCACTCAAGGAATTTGAGGAGGTCGAAAATGAAAATCAAGAGTTAGGTGGACAATTTGAAAACCTGGATATGCCTACACATGTTTAATTTTTAGTTTGGCAAGAGAAATCGAAAAGTTGGTCATTACGCACGACAGTTTAAAAGCCGAGGAGGCACAGTTCAAAGACAGCTGCAAACAAGAGAAAGCGCGACTGGAGAAAGAAATTAGGTAAGATTTCATCCCCTTTACTCCCCTTATATTTCACGCCAGGGTTTGTTTTAGGGAACTGAAGCAAGAAGCGGAAGTGCCGACCGAGTCCAGTCCGGAACTCAAAGGGCAAATCGAGAAGGTCAGCGAAAAGGCGCGGCTCTTAAGGTTACAATTGGCGAAGAAAAACCGCATCGTGGCAACGCTGCAAAGACAAGTGGATGATGTCCCCAACAGGGCCGAACTCAGCCAGTACCAGAGGAGGTTTATAGAGTTATACAATCAAGGTATGCAATGCGGATTTTTTCTATAGTTCTCGTTTAATTTGTGAATACTAGTCGCTGCCAAGCACAAGGAAACGAAGCAGTACTTTTCGTTGTACAATACATTGACGGACAAAAAGATGTACATGGAGAAGGAACTCTCTCTGCTAAACTCTATATCGGAGAGCTATCCCGAGTATGCGATCTTAATTTATACAGGGTGTTTTAGAAATAAGTGTCGTAAATTTGAGGGTGAATAGACTTTGATGAAAAGTGAAGGAAACATCAGTAGGTTTTTTCAATTCCAGAGAAGTAAAAGATATTGGTGTTTTTAAGCTAAGGTTATGAGGTTTATGGTACTTATTTCCTAAACGCCATGTGTAAAGCTTAGTTGTTAGCTGTTACATCGTTGATTTTTAGAGCGATGCGGTCTGGCGGAGGCAAAGAGGAGTTCATCAAACAGTTCCAAGGTATTCTCGAGAGCGTGCGGCAATCGAGGTTAAAGGTAGAAAGAAAGGTGGCGGAGGAAAAACAAAAGCGAGACGAGTTGAGTGACACGTTGCAAGGTTTGGTGGAGTTGCAACGAAGATACGCGGAGGCGGTGAAGGAATTGGGGGTAGAAGTTCAAAAGTACGAAACATTGTTAGATCAAAGACAGGGTAAATGACTAAAGACATGGTAAGAGTTATTTTTGCAGTTTCGAACGAAAATGTATTTTTGCGTTTTTTGCAGACCCGTGACGTTAATCAGAAAAAATTAGTAGAATTAAGAATAAATTATGTAAATACTCATTTTATTCTAAAACTATAGCGTAAAATTGCATACAATTTACAGTATGGAATTTATTTAATTTTTCCAGAGGTGAACAAAAATATTTATAGTTTGCCAGATTTGTTTTGTTTGAAATATTTTTTCATCCCTATATTCTTGTCGTTTATCTTATTTGTTAATTGAATATAATTTTTTAAACTGAAAATGTTGATTTAACTGCTTCATGACCCGAAGGTTATTTTAAAAATATTATGAACATGTACTAAACTCCTCTAAAAGCTCTAAAAACTCCTCTGCTCTAGCTCTAAAAGTCGTTGAAAACACTAGTGTGTAGTATGAATAAATTCCTGCAAGAATTCTCAGGAATTTCTATTAATTATAAGCAATTAAAGAAATTACGGTATACATTCATTCGTTTGTGGTTTATCTCTCGCTCTAACTCTTATTATTTAAGTATTCACCCAGTTTTTATTATAGTAGTACAAACGCTAGAAAAATAATATTTTTATGTTTGTAATAGCGCTGTTTGCGCTTTCTGATCAAGCACCATTATGACCATGCGCTAACATAACCCGTATGACCTGCCCCATTAGGACCATGCGGTCATTATGACCAAGGGTCAATCTGAAATGTTACTGTGACCTTGCGCTAGCATAAACTGTTCCATTATGACTCGGAGTAGTTATATTCATTAGGTAATATGACCTGCGCAATTATATGTGTTATGTTATTATGAGCTTGCGCCACTATAACCAAGACCATTTATATGCGTGCGGTAATGTAACATCCGCTATTATGACCCAGCGCCAATATGAACTGCGCCGTTACAATCAAGATCAGCCATATCCATTTGGTAATATGACTTACACCCTTATAAATAGCTGAATCTAACAGGCGCTATTATGACCTCGCTCTAATATGAACTGCAGCTTGCGCCATTTTGTCCAGCGCTGTTATCTGCACTGGCGCCGATATGAGGATGCAACTGCTAAATAAAAAGTCATTTTTTGACTTGAATGATGATTTATTTTGAAGACAAACTATTATACACGTCACCGTTTACAGTTAACTTGGGGGAGAGAGACAGAGTTTTGCGTTTTCTTTCGATTTATTCCTTTGGTACATTGAGTCACTTATCGTTATGCTAGAAGTCTTATACGGAAATAATACGATTTGTATAATTTACAAAATGGCTCCAAAAATTTCTCGGTTTATAAACATATAACAAACATAATATCTATTTTTTTGATTTCGTATAAAATTTTGATTCGAAACAATTTGACTTTTGTTTTTTTTTTATGTAAACGTTGTTGGCAGACCATTTCAAACGGCAATAGAATAGTCCGACTGCGGGTTCGCGCCCTGATTCCCGGCGGGTCGCGACCACAGCGACGACCTCAGTCCGAGTTTCAGCTTTTTCAGCGTATCGATGTCGCACTCCGCCTCGGAGAGTTCGATCCTGTCGGGAGTTCCGCCCTGCTCGGACTGTCGGCCTTCGTTATTGAAACTCGTTTCAGCGACCGACAGGTGACTGAGGATCTGTCGCTGCGAATTGCTGCGACCTCCTTGTGCCAGCCACCTGCGATCAACACAGTCTTTCGTCAAAAAAGAGTGTGCGCGTATTTCGTTCGTGTTCATGTACCTATTGCGGTTTCTCCGAGGCAGAGATTTTTGTTCCGACATTGGCGATATGTCTGACGAGGTGCTCGACTGAGCTCCGTGGTACACAAAATCTGGAACGGAACGCCCGTATGAGGAAAATTGTTAGGCAACAAATACCTCGCAATTGGGGTTCTTTTGTTGGAATTGGAAATTTTACATCAAAAAGTAGAACGGAAACCATGCGGGAGAAAAGAAATGCCTTTCAAATGAGGTATTACACCTCCTCCCCTGGCATGTGTTCATTTGTTAATAAAGGCAATGAGCCATGAGCAATTCGTACGCCAAAAAGTAGATTAGCCAACATAAATGGCGGTTTATACTTTTTTTGATAGGAGTTACATCTTTTTGGTTGTGGCTTCTCACACATTAAACTGGTTAATTGGATAGGTTCGGAGTATACACTTACTAGCTTTGTGTTTGATATCTAACTGATTGGAAGACTCCGTTCGGCTTGACGTCAGTTGATCCTGATCCGACTCACTTTCGTCGCTGTCAATCTCATTTTTACGATTCACTCTTCTCCGACCATGGCCTTTTGTACTTTGAAATTTTTGCTGCAATCAAACAGATCAATATGTCCCAACCTATCGTCAGCACAACACGGATGAAAAATATGGCTAGTTTTAGTTTTGATCGGTTTTCAAGGTTCGTGGTACTCCGAAACAGCGGAATAATACCACCAGCGGTGGACAGTTACCAAACGAGGTTCGTAATCTGCAAAATTGTGGAAAATAAAAAGACATGTCGAAAAGTACTTACAATATTATAGTAAGGTGAGTTTCGTTGTACTGAAGATGTAGCGGGCGGCGGAGACGCGCAGCCTTCGGTTACAGGGTGCTCGTGGTACATAAAACTGTGCAGCATAGTGTTCTGGGGGCAGGGCAGCGTGCTAGGCTCGGAAAGCTGGAACGTCGCGTACGGCGATATGTCTTCCGACGTTTCTGCAAAAACTTTGCATTAGGAAGTGCCAACAAAGTCGACGGGTTGTCGATTATATATCGATCATTTGAATTTTTCAAAACTAAATTAGTTTAGTTGCTTTAACAAGTCATTTGAAGTCCACATTTGGGAACAGCTTGAATATTTGACCTCCTGGATCATTGTTTTCGGTTCCTCAGGTATCGATTTCTTATCGATAATACGGCGATATGTCTTCCGACATTTCTGCAAAAACTTCCCATTAGGGAGAAAGTTCCAACAAATCGACGGTTTGTCGATTATATATCGATCATTTGAATTTTTCAAAACTCAAAACTCAAACAAAAAACAAAAGTCCGAATTTAGACATTGCTCGAATATTTGACCTCCTGGCCTTTGTTTTCGTTTCCTAAGGAATCGATTTTTTATCGATAATTACGACGATATATCTTCCGAAGTTTCTGCAAAAACTTTACAGTAGGAAGTGCCAACAAAGTCGACGGTTATTCGATTATATATCGAACATTTGAATTTTTCAAAACTAAATTAGTTTAGTTGTTTTAATAAGTCATTTGAAGTCCGCATTTGAGAACAGCTTGAATATTTGACTTCCTGCACTTTGTTTTCGGTTCCTCAGGTATCGATTTCTTATCGATAATTACGGCGATATGGCTTCCGACATTTCTGCAAAAACTTCCCATTAGGGAGAAAGTTCCAACAAATCGACGGTTTGTCGATTATATATCGATCATTTGAATTTTTCAAAACTTAATTAATTTAGTTGTTTTAATAAATCATTTGAAGTCCGAATTTAGACATTGCTCGAATATTTGACCTCCTGGCCTTTGTTTTCGTTTCCTAAGGTATCGATTTTTTATCGATAATTACGGATCTTCCGAAGTTTCTGCAAAAACTTTACAGTAGGAAGTGCCAACAAAGTCGACAGTTCGTCAATTATATTTGGACCATGTGAATTTCTCAAAACTAAATTAATTTAGTTGCTTTAATAGGTCATTTGAAGTCCGCATTTGACCTCCTGCCACTTTGTTTTCGGTTCTTAAAGTATCGATTTTTATCTGTAATTACGGAGATATGTTTTCCGACGTTCCTGCTAAAATTTTGCTTTAGAAAGTGTCAACAAAGGCGGCGGTTTGTCAATTATATGTCGATCATTTTAATTTTTTAAAACTAAATTCATTTAGTTGCTTTAATAGGTCATTTGAAGTCCGCATTTGGGCGCTGCTTGAATATTCGACCTCCTGCACTTTGTTTTCGTTTCCTATGGTATCGATTTTTTATCCATAATTCGGCGATATGTTTTCCGACGTTTCTGGACAAATGTTGCACTAGGAAGTGCCAACAAAATCAACGGTTTCTCGATTATATGACGATCATTTGAATTTTTCAAAACTAAATTAATTTAGTTGTTTTAATAGGTCATTTGAAGTCCGTATTTGGGCTTTGCTTCAATCTTTGACCTCCTGTACTTTTTTTTTTGTTTCCTAAAGTATCGATTTTTTAGCGATAATTACGGTGATATGGTTTCCGACGTTTCTGCAAAAATTTTGCGTTAGAAAATGCGGACAAAGTCGATAGTTTGTCTATTATATATCGATCATTTCAATTTTTCAAAACTAAATTAATTTAGTTGCTGTAATAGGTTATTTGAAGTTCGCATTGGGGTACTGCTTGAAAATTTGACTTCCCGTACTTCGTTTTCGTTTTCTAACGTATCGATTTTTTATCGATAATTACAACTGGGATTATTAAAACATTTTATTATTTTTCTATTTTTGTTGTATTGATTTGACCATAGATTTAAGCTCGTTCGCCAGCTTACCGGGTATTTTCTCGCCTGCTTGTAGCGCCACCTTGTGAATGGTGGCGTAGTATCGTTCCCTCTGGGCTTCGGCGTTCTGCTGGTTGTCCAACTGTTCCTTGTCCGCTTCGTTCCGACCTACGGTTCAATATCGATTGATTGCATGGCAATAAGCTTCAAAAATTGTCACTTACGTCGTTTGAAACACACGATGGTGGCGACCAAACAGACTTTAACCAATCCGATCAAAATGATTAGCGGGATCATCACTTTCAGGTCCGCGTAGAACGGTACGCCGTCGGATCCTTGTCTTATCAAATCTGGTGGCGGAACGTCTGTAATATGTCATAGAGGAATATGTGAATTTCATAAAGGAATTTGTTTCTTATTAAGTATTGGCATTAAAAGAACTGTAGGGAAGTCAGAGAGTGACAGGAATCTACACAAATTTGATAGAGGTATCAGTAAATTTCATATTGAAATTAGACGGTTGCACGTACGTGTCATAGGAAAATCTTACCTCCATCTTTGGTTAAGGTGGTAAAGGCGAATTCTTCTGTAGAAAATCCAGCAACATTATGAGCTTCCAGCTTGACCACATATTTGGTGGCTGACGTAAGGCCGGCGATGGACGTTCTTCTTTGCGGCTTCAGGGCATTGGAAACTAGAAAAAAGTTAATTTTAAATGCCAATTTAACTTATCTTTTCCTGGTTTTAAATCGAACGCCATTTTGTCCACATTACCTAACGTCCATTGGGATTCGCTAGCCTTTCTATACTGCAGTATAAAATACAGTATTGGACATCCATTGTCTGGCCAGACGTGGAGCCTCAGCGTTACGGACGTAGAATTGGGATTGATGAACGAGACGGCTGGCGGTACGCCTGGAGGGTGTCCCTGAGTTCGAGCCTGTAGAGGGTGGCTTGCCGGCGAGCTACCGATTTTGTTGTGAGCTGTCAAGTAGAGGTGGTAGGTCGTTCCGCAAGATAGGCCCTAAATCATTTGAAACGGTTTTGTGTGACTAGGTGTTAAATTTTTAATAATATACTTCGTAATAGATGTTATAAAAAGGCGTTCATCTGTAGAATGTTCTACTAGACAGGTACAAAAACCAATAAAAGTAAAAAAAGATATATTAGGACAATCAAAACAGAATGTGGAGCCAGAAGAATCCAGACTGTAACCTTGGATTTTTACCTTGGTAATAACCAAACTGAAAATAGCAAAGGGAAGGATACTTATGTATACAATAGCTGAAGGCTGAAGCTGAAGGAAACTTATAATCACCGAGAGAGAAAGATCAAAATTTTAGTTAAACTAAATACACCGCTGGCCTAGACTGAGGTCGTGAGAATAGCCAGTATCAGACCTGGGAATTCTAATTATTAATCTCGACAGATGACAGTTCGTCAAGACTTTAGAGCTGTAAAGAGTGCTAGGCTTCTCTGTTGAGTAAAATTCACCGGTAAATTTCATAAATTACTTGTTGATCGCTACATATTTTATGTCTAAATTAGGTTTTCGTACGGCTTAAAGAAATGAGCTGCGTTTTGACTTACTTTCAGTTCATAACTCGTAGCATGTCTCGATAAGTGGATTTCATCTAAATTTCCATGTTCTTTCCTAAAAGGAAGGATTCGTATCGTTACACCAGGGTTGGTCACACAAAACAAAAATGAAAAGAAATGATTGGACGTCTAAAGTTATGAATATAGACAGCCCAAAATCTCTAACCTGTAGTTCAGCGTAAATCCGCTGATATGAGCGCCGCCGTTGCTGCCCGGTTTCCAGTGTAGCAGGATGCTGCTGCTCGTGGCCGAAGTGACGTAGAGCAGTGGCGCAGACGGAGGGACCTGGACTATTAGGTGGTAGGTGATCCTGTCTGAACCGTGGCCGTTGTCCACTTGGCACGTGTAATTGCCGACGTCTGATAGTTGCAGGTTTGACAGAATGAGCTCCCCAGTATCGAGCAGCTGCTGATTGTGGCTCGCGCCGCCCTACGTTAGCGTAACACAACACCAAAATCAACAAATTTAATAGAACTTTAATTTAAAGATGAAAAGTCAATAATTTTATTTTAAAGAACACATGATTGCTGCATTCATTAGTGCTGTGACAATTATAATATCATTTATCATTTATAGTATAATTTATCGATTCGATCGGTTTGAAGTAGATTGCTATAAAATTTTCGTAAAGTATCTTTTACTTTTACCTTTAAAATCTGTTCACTGCGCAGCCATTCCCTCCTGGGAGATCCGACGGCCTCGCAACTGAAGGCCACAGACGTCCGCCAGGGGCGTACGATTAATCCCCCGAATGTCGTTATCCTCGCCGGCACTGAAACAAAGGACCGTTTCTAGTTCCTTTGATTCGTTCCCTATCGCAAATTGCGAATAAAAAACAATTCGCAAAGGGAATTTCTAGATAGAATTTATCAAAGGATTCAATTTCCTCTCGTATAGAGGCAGGTGTCTCGAAATTCAAATTTATCGTGTGACCTTTGGCCGATACCGTAATCTCAGTCACGATATTTTGTTCCACATTCTTGAATCCTCGGAATCAAAAATCCTCTTCGAATTTTTGAAAGTTTGCGAGCGCTGTGTTTTGTGAAAAATAGTTGGATGGTGTCTTGCATTTTAAAATACACCTTCAAAATCAAAAATATTGGATTTAGCCTATAGTTCCAAATTAACTGACTAGCTGAGTCGAACTTCAACAACCATACTAAACCAATACGTTGTCAAGGTTGTTAGTGGATGCTTACAAGCTGCAAGATGATATTTTGCCTATGATTTTACCAGCAGCAACGTTGCTTGGGTTATTAAAAAAAAAAGGCTATTAATGACGGAGTTGAAATCGTGCAGACAGTGGAGGAAAAACAATTTTCTTTTTGCAGTTTAATATTCTAAAAGGCATTGGAAAAGAAATTAATCGCTGATTGAATTATTACTTTCGAAAAATCGATGAAATTGAATTGTTCCAAAGTATATGCGCTTGGCAACGAAACTTACATCTCGGCAACGGTTGAAATGGTCAGCCACACGACCTTCAAATTTGGCTATTTCTAAGCAGCCCACGAGATACATGATCCAATGAAAAATGAGTTCGATCAAATCACAGCGTCCATCTTTTTATTAGATTTTCGACTGTTTTTTGGACATTGCCATAAAGCGCGATAAATATCCAAAATTTGAAGCCATCCACTTGAAATTTGACACGCACATAGAGTTTAGCTCCGTAACGAAGCCTATTAAAACTGGGGGTGTCGTGAAGAATTTTTCAAAATTTAAAAACCGCATTTGCGGGGTATCGAGAAAAAAAATCATTTCTCAGAAACGGTATAAAAGATCGAAAAAATTCTCAAAACAGAAGACGCGCGAGATCCGAACCAAAAACCTTTATTCTCAATGATTATTTAAAAATGTACAGGGTGCGTTGGTAATTTACAAGAAACTGAAAATTGGGTTCGCCTAATAACGATAATTGACCATAACTAGGAAGTTGTAATCCAGTTGTCAATTTCGTTTACATGGTCATCTAGCCCAACTGAGCGTCACCAAATGCCGCGAAGTATTTAAAAAAAAAAATGATTTTCTCGAAAACTGTATACCCGATTGGCAAAATTCTTTAACTAGGAAACGGGGAAGATCCGCATTTTTTCGATAATATACAGTGAAAAATATAGAGGACCCTGAAAATTATTATTTTCCAGAATAAATAATTAGCCGTAAATCAAAATTAGTAAAAAATATGGCCGATCGGTTCAAACAGTATTATAGGCCACATCAAGAGCTACAATTTTTGTATTTACGCCTGTCGTCTAACATCCACGCTTCTCAAGATATTTGAAAAAGTCTACGAGGGGGTACCCAAAAAAAACGGAATCATTTTTTATAAACTATATATTGTTTTGAAAATCACAGAACGACCTTATCCCCTTCAAAATACTCTCCATTACAACTAATACATTTGTCCCAGCGGTGCTTCCACTGTTCGAAACATTTTTTATATTCATCTTTGGCTATAGCCGACAGCTCATCCCTCGTTTTTTTCTTGACCTCTTCAATGTTGTCAAATCGCTGTTCTTTCATGTCCCTTTTCATACGTGGAAATAAGAAGAATTCGCACGGAGCGAGATCAGGCGAGTAAGGTGCATGGGGCAGAGGAACCATGCCATTTTTAGCCAAAAACTGCTTAACAGAAATGGCTGTGTGTGCAGGTGAATTATCGTGGTTAAAGAACCAGTCCCCTGTCCGCCACAAATCGGGTCTTTTTTGTCGAATACAATCTTCTTAAAACTTCCACATAAAAAGCTTGATTAACGGTCTCACCTGGTGGAACGAACTCTGCATGAACTACGCCGTTGATGTCGAAAAAGCAAATCAGCATCGTTTTGATGTTTGATTTGAACTGACATTTTTTTGGACGGGGAGACAGTGACGTCTTCCATTGGCTGGACTGTTGCTTCGTTTCTGGATCGTAACCATAGCACCATGACTCGTGATTAGTAATGATCTTTGAAAGAAAATCTGGATCCGTTTCAAGCTGTTGATCCAAAGCACGACATGTTTCAACTCGATGTTCTTTTTGCATGTCAGTCAGAACACGAGGAACAAACTTGGCAGCAACTCTTTTCGTTCCCAAATCTTCGGTTAAAATTCGCTTAACCGTGCTCCAAGACAACCCACTAATCTTTGATAATTATTCAGTTGTCTGTCGACGGTCTGTGAGCACAAACTCTCGAATCTTTTCAATATTTTCGTCGATTCGAGCAGTTGATGGATGTCCAGAACGAGGTCGGTCATCAATTGACTCTTCGCCATTTTTAAAGCGAACAAACCACTGGTACACTTGAATTTTTCCCATCGCATCGTCTTTATAAGCCGTTTTTAACCTTGAAACAGTTTTAACAGCACTTTTACCGAGCAGAAAACAAAATTTCACAGCTGCACGTTGTTCTTTTAAACTTGCCATCGAAAAAAACGAAATAATAAAAAAACAGCGTTAACAAAAAATGGCACTGCAAGTGAACAAAACAAGTTAAATTTAAAACGAAGATGGCGTTGAACTCGCAATAAGTTGTACTATCCACAACCTGGCGGCAGAAAGGTGTACTATAGAAGCTCTGCGCGCGGCAATTCAATTCCGGTTTTTTATGGGTATCCCCTCGTATGTGACAGTAGATATTTCTCGCTAGCAATCTAGATTCGATGACGCCATTTAGCATTACGTGCTGCCTGGTTTCAGACGAAAATTAATTTCTCGAAAACTATTCACTCTATTGAAAAAAATCTTGGATCAGAAAATGTGGGAGGTCCAGGGCTTTAACCTCTACTTCTGGCAGTTTTTCAATTGTGTACAGGGCGTGTCGGTAATGGGAAAAACTCTAAAGAATCCTGAGAATTGCCTTGTTGGTGGGTAAATTATTATTAAGTTGTCTATTAATACTCATAAATAAGCTAAGGATTTCGTTCATAGTGAAATTTTGGAAAAATTGATGAAGGAAATAATTAGTTTATTTAGTAGTTGAAAACTACGTTACTAATGTTGCTTTAAAAATTAATATTTTTCTATAAAGCTAGAACCCGTAAATGGGCAACATTTGTTTTTTCCTAAAATTGAAGAGTTAAAGCTATGTACACAGACAATGACAGCATGTATGATTATGGGCCAGTTTTGTCAAACTTTGTCCAAATTTAATTAATTGACTTAGGCAAAATAAGGTGCACCACAAAATATTAAGAGTCTATGTGTTAATAGAGTAAAATACTGGGTGTTCTGAAATTGAGTGAATCTACTTTTAAGTGATTAAATTCAACCACTAAAATTATCTTCAGTTTGTATAAAGACATATCAAGAACTGCTTCCTCACCCTATAAAGGTCATCATATATATTTCGAGTATAAAACGCCATTTTCGTCAGATTGGGGCGCAGATTGAAAAAACAGCGGTGTATCATTTTAGGTTCAACAATGTTCAGTCCATACCTTTTAATATGAGAAAATGGTTTTCCAGCATTAAAAAAATGACTGTACTGATGTAAAAGCTATGATTAAAAAATCTGAGGTTAGAAGAGTTAAAGCTATGTACACAGATAATGACAGCATGTATGATTATGGGCCAGTTTTGTTAAGCTTAGTCAAAAACTCAACGAACTCAAATTTTACAGTTTTCAAATTTAATTAATTTACTTAGGGAAAATAAGGTGCACCACAAAATACTAAAAAAGTCTATGTGTTAATAGAGTAAAATACTGGGCGTCCTGAAATTGCAAGCATATAGTTCGAGTGAATCTACTTTTGAGTAATTAAATTCCACCACTAAAATTATCTCCAGTTTGTATAAAGACATGTCAAGAACTGCATGTTCACCCTATAAAGTTCATCATATACATTTCAAGTATAAAACGTCATTTTTGTCATATTGGGGCGCAGATTAAAAAAACAGCGGTGTATCATTTTAGAAAATGGTTTTCCAGCATAAAAAAATGACTGTATTTTATTCTATTTTTATAGAAAATAGTTATAATAATACAACACAAATTATAATAATACAACACAAACATTAGGTATCAAAATTGATAACTATGTTACAATGGATTTCCAAATTAAAAGCAACTCATGGCTGGTTTTATACGCTTTAAGAACATTTACAGATTAAAGAACTTTTTAAATACAAAACAAAAGTAATTTCTCTGCAAAACTTTTGTTGTTTCGCTGTTTGATTATTCCGATGTGGAGTAAGGAGATTATCTGTCTGGGCAAACAAGGAGATCAGTTCAACAATTACAAAACTCTGGTATGGGTTTTGCCTTTGAGATACCTCATCGTAGTCATATAAATAATTTCAATATTTTAAACATGAGCAATCGAAGAAAACTGCTAGCGCGTAAGATTTGCTCATAAAATTATGATTATCTAAAAGGGAGTTTCCAACTTCTTGCACATTCCCATAGAACAATTTTGAGTTTAATAGACTTCATTGTAGAACGCCATTATTTTGGCCTAAATTAGTCTATACTTCTAAATCTAAATCTAGCAAAGCCAAAAGCAATAAAATCTAAATTTTGCAGAACAAAATTTGCTATAACAAATTGGGTCATTAATGGCAATATCCTCCTTAAAAATATTTTTTTTCAATTTTTATTTATTTTTTTGGTTTTTATATATCTTATGATAGCAAGTTTTTGCAGATTGGTAGATATATATTTTTTTCCTCTAATTGTCTGGCAATACACTCGTGCTCTTCTACAATTCTAGGTTTCCAGCCTATTGGAGAACTAAAGGGTGTTTTTTTTCGATGTATAGATCTTTAAGTTGCAATAAAACAACGATGGA